GCGCCGGCCGGCCGCCGCGCTCCTCGGAGAGCCGCGAGGCGATCTGCATCTCGAAGATGGTGTCCTCGCAGAAGCTCACGAAGAGCTCCATCTTCTCGGCCTCGCCGCCCTCGTTGACCACGTCGAAGATGAACTGCCGCTTGGACTCCTTGACCTGCGGCATCTCCCACTGCGCCTTGTTGGCGGCGCTGATCTCGAAGTAGAGGCGCTCGATGCGCCGCGCCGCCCCCATGATCTCGATGCGGCCCAAGAAAGGGCGGAAGTACTCCAAGATGCTGGAAGCTTGCTCCAGGAAGGTGCGCAGGCGTTGGTCGTGGGGCACGTGCTCGGCCAGGTTGGTGAGGAGCACGGCCACGTTGAAGCCGATGTCGCGCGCCGGCTCTTGGAAGCGCCCGGCGAAGGCGTCCACGTCGATCATCTCGTTCTCGTCGGCTTCGGAACACGAGAGCAGGAACTGGATCTCGGCGGCTTCGAACTGTTTCTGGTTGTCCATGGCCTTCTGGAAGTCCTTCTTGGAGATGAGGCCCCGCGGGTCGGTGACGGAGGCGCGGAAGGCGTCCGAGGCCACGATGTCGCGGAGCTTGAGGAACATGTCGAAGAACTTGAGGATCATGGTGACGTTGGCCGAGGACTCCACCAGCATGTCCACCATCTGCCGGGCGATGGTGCCGTTCACCACGTTGCCTATGGGGGGGACGGGACGGAGAGTGAGGGATCAATGGAGGAGGACATGGGGGGAGGTTGGGGGGCATTGGTTGAGAAGAGAAGGAGGGAGGGGAGAGGATAAAGGGGAGGGGGCGGGGAGACCTTGGTGGGGCAAGGGGGCACCTTGGGTGGTCAATGACAGCTTGGGTGGTCAATGAGACCTTGGGTGGTCAAGGGGCACGTTGGGTGGTCAAGGGATCCCATAGGTGGTCAAGGGGCACCTTCGGTGGTCAATGACAGCTTGGGTGGTCAAGGGGCACGTTGGGTGGTCAAGGGGCACGTTGGGTGGTCAATGACGGCTTGGGTAGTCAAGGGGCACGTTGGGTGGTCAAGGGGCACGTTGGGTGGTCAATGACGGCTTGGGTGGTCAAGGGGCACATTGGGTGGTCAAGGGGCACGTTGGGTGGTCAAGGGATCCCATAGGTGGTCAAGGGGCACCTTGGGTGGTCAATGACACCTTGGGTGCTCAATGGACCCCTTGGGTGCTCCATGACCCCTTGGGTGCTCCATGGACCCCTTGGGTGCTCCATGACCCCTTTGGGTGCTCAATGACCCCTTGGGTGCTCAATGACCCCCTTGGGTGCTCCACGACCCCTTTGGGTGCTCCATGGACCCCTTGAGTGCTCAATGACCCCCTTGGGTGCTCAATGACCCCTTTGGGTGCTCAATGGACCCCTTGGGTGCTCAATGACCCCTTGGGTGCTCCATGACCCCTTGGGTGCTCCATGACCCCTTTGGGTGCTGCATGACCCCTTGGGTGCTCAATGGACCCCTTGGGTGCTCCCTGACCCCTTGGGTGCTCAATGGACCCCTTGGGTGCTCAATGACCCCTTGGGTGCTCAATGGACCCCTTGGGTGCTCCCTGACCCCTTGGGTGCTCAATGGACCCCTTGGGTGCTCAATGACCCCTTGGGTGCTCAATGGACCCCTTGGGTGCTCAATGACCCCTTGGGTGCTCAATGGACCCCTTGGGTGCTCAATGACCCCTTGGGTGCTCCATGACCCCCTTGGGGTGCTCAATGACCCCTTGGGTGCTCAATGACTCCTTTGGGTGCTCCATGACCCCTTGGGTGCTCAATGGACCCCTTGGGTGCTCAATGACCCCTTGGGTGCTCAATGGACCCCTTGGGTGCTCCATGACCCCTTGGGTGCTCCATGACCCCTTGGGTGCTCAATGGACCCCTTGGGTGCTCAATGACCCCTTTGGGTGCTCAATGGACCCCTTGGGTGCTCCATGACCCCTTGGGTGCTCAATGGACCCCTTGGGTGCTCCATGGACCCCTTTGGGTGCTCCATGACCCCTTGGGTGCTCAATGACCCCTTTGGGTGCTCCATGGACCCCTTGGGTGCTCAATGACCCCTTGGGTGCTCCATGACCCCTTGGGTGCTCAATGGACCCCTTGGGTGCTCCCTGACCCCTTGGGTGCTCAATGGACCCCTTGGGTGCTCAATGACCCCTTGGGTGCTCCATGACCCCTTGGGTGCTCAATGACCCCTTGGGTGCTCAATGGACCTCTTGGGTGCTCCATGGACCCCTTGGGTGCTCAATGGACCCCTTGGGTGCTCAATGACCCCCTTGGGTGCTCCATGGACCCCTTGAGTGCTCAATGACCCCTTGGGTGCTCCATGACCCCTTGGGTGCTCAATGGACCCCTTGGGTGCTCAATGACCCCTTGGGTGCTCAATGGACCCCTTGGGTGCTCCATGGACCCCTTGGGTGCTCCATGACCCCTTTGGGTGCCCCATGGGGCCTGCCCCCCCGCTATGGCTGATGGGAACGGGGTGCCCCCTGCCCATTGGCTGTTGGAGGGAGGGGGCGGAGCCATGTGCGCACCCTCCAGCAGGGACAGCAGCATCACCACCATGTCCTTCTGCAGGTCCAGCAGCTCCTTCAGCAGCTCGATCTGGCTGGAGTGCTGGGGGGCAATGGGGGGCAATGGGGGGCACCGTGAGTGCCATTGACCCCATTGAGCCCCATTGCCTCCATTGCCCCCCATTGACCCCCTTTGCCCCCATTGCCCCCATTGCCCCATAGCCCCCATTGCCCCCCATTGCCCCCCATTGCCCCCCTTTGCCCCCATTGCCCCATTGCCCCCCATTCCCCCCATTGCCCCTCATGTCCCCATTGCCCCCATTGCCCCCCATTGCCCCATAGCCCCATTGCCCCAGAGCCCCCCATTGACCCCCATAGCCCCATTGCCCCCATAGCCCCCATATCCCCCCATTGCCCCATAGCCCCCCATAGGCCCCCATAGCCCCATTGCCCCCCATAGCCCCCCATAGCCCCATTGCCCCCCATTGCCCCATAGCCCCATAGCCCCATTGCCCCATAGCCCCATTGCCCCATAGCCCCCCATTGACCCCCATAGCCCCATTGCCCCCATAGCCCCCCATAGCCCCATTGCCCCCCATTCCCCCCATAGCCCCCCATTGCCCCATAGCCCCATAGCCCTCATTGCCCCCATTGCCCCATAGCGCCCCATAGCCCCCATAGCCCCCCCCAGCCCCATAGCCCCCCATAGCCCCCCAGCCCCATAGCCCCCCATAGCCCCCCATTGACCCCCATAGCCCCATTGCCCCCATAGCCCCCATATCCCCCCATTGCCCCATAGCGCCCCATTGCCCCATAGCCCCATTGCCCCATAGCCCCCATAGCCCCCCATAGCCCCATAGACCCCATTGCCCCCCATTGCCCCATAGCCCCATTGCCCCCCATTCCCCCCATAGCCCCCCATAGCCCCCATAGCCCCATAGCCCCCCATAGCCCCATAGCCCCCATAGCCCCCCATTGACCCCCATAGCCCCATAGCCCCCATAGCCCCCATAGCCCCCATAGCCCCATAGCCCCCCATAGCCCCCCATAGCCCCATAAGCCCCGCTGCCACCTGGGGCCAGTTTCTTCATCATGTGGGCGAAGACGTGGAGGAAGCCGATGACGGCGTCCCAGAGGCGGCTGTGGGCCAGGCTCTGCTGGTTCCCCGTGCACGGGCCCTGTGGGGCGGCCCGGGGGCAATGGGGGTCAGGGGGGACATGGGGGGCAATGGGGACATGGGGGGCAATGGGGGGCAATGGGGGGCAATGGGGACATGGGGGGCAATGGGGGGCAATGGGGACATGGGGGGCAATGGGGGGCAATGGGGACATGGGGGACATGGGGGCAATGGGGACATGGGGGGCAATGGGGGGCAACAGGGACATGGGGGGCAGTGGGGGACATGGGGGGCAATGGGGGACATGGGGGGCAATGGGGACATGGGGGGCATGGGGGACATGGGGGGCAATGGGGGTCAGGGGGGACATGGGGGGCAATGGGGGGCAATGGGGACATGGGGGGCAATGGGGACATGGGGGCAATGGGGGGCAATGGGGACATGGGGGGCAATGGGGACATGGGGGGCAATGGGGGCATGGGGGGCAATGGGGACATGGGGGTCAGGGGGGACATGGGGGGCAATGGGGACATGGGGGGCAATGGGGGTCAGGGGGGACATGGGGGGCAATGGGGACATGGGGGGCTATGGGGACATGGGGGGCAATGGGGACATGGGGGGCAATGGGGGACATGGGGGGCAATGGGGGTCAGGGGGGACATGGGGGGCAATGGGGACATGGGGGGCAATGGGGGGCTATGGGGACATGGGGGGCAATGGGGACATGGGGGGCAATGGGGGACATGGGGGGCAATGGGGGTCAGGGGGGACATGGGGGTCAGGGGGGACATGGGGGGCAATGGGGGCAATGGGGGGCAATGGGGACATGGGGGGCTATGGGGGGCAATGGGGGGCAATGGGGGGCAATGGGGACATGGGGGGCAATGGGGACATGGGGGGCAATGGGGGCAATGGGGGGCAATGGGGACATGGGGGGCAATGGGGGTCAGGGGGGACATGGGGGGCAATGGGGGCAATGGGGGGCAATGGGGACATGGGGGGCAATGGGGGGCAATGGGGGGCAATGGGGACATGGGGGGCAATGGGGGGCAATGGGGACATGGGGGGGCAATGGGGGGCAATGGGGACATGGGGGACATGGGGGCAATGGGGACATGGGGGGCAATGGGGGGCAACAGGGACATGGGGGGGCAGTGGGGGACATGGGGGGCAATGGGGGACATGGGGGGCAATGGGGACATGGGGGGCAATGGGGGACATGGGGGGCAATGGGGGTCAGGGGGGACATGGGGGGCAATGGGGACATGGGGGGCAATGGGGGACATGGGGGGCAATGGGGGTCAGGGGGGACATGGGGGGCAATGGGGACATGGGGGGCAATGGGGGGCTATGGGGACATGGGGGGCAATGGGGACATGGGGGGCAATGGGGGACATGGGGGGCAATGGGGGTCAGGGGGGACATGGGGGTCAGGGGGGACATGGGGGGCAATGGGGGCAATGGGGGGCAATGGGGACATGGGGGGCAGTGGGGGGCAATGGGGGGCAATGGGGGACATGGGGGTCAGTGGGGACATGGGGGTCAATGGGGCAATGGGGGTCAATGGGGGTCAATGGGGGTCAGTGGGGACATGGGGGACATCCCAGGGCCACCAAGGTCTTTGGGGACCCCTGGGGTCCATGGTATCTCTGGGTCCCATCGTGTCTATGGGTCAGTCTCTATGGGTCTCTATGGGTCGCTATGGGTCGCGATGGGTCCCTATGTGTCCCTATGGGTCGCTGTGGGTCTCTATGGGTCCCTATGGGTCCCTATGTGTCCCTATGGGTCCCTATGGGTCCCTATGGGTCTCTATGGGTCCCTATGTGTCCCTATGGGTCTCTATGGGTCCCTATGTGTCCCTATGGGTCTCTATGGGTCCCTATGTGTCCCTATGGGTCTCTATGGGTCCCTATGTGTCCCTATGGGTCCCTATGGGTCCCTATGGGTCCCTATGGGTCTCTATGGGTCTCTATGGGTCCCTATGTGTCCCTATGGGTCTCTATGGGTCCCTATGTGTCCCTATGGGTCTCTATGGGTCCCTATGGGTCTCTATGGGTCTCTATGGGTCCCTATGGGTCCCTATGGGTCTCTATGGGTCTCTATGGGTCCCTATGTGTCCCTATGGGTCTCTATGGGTCCCTATGTGTCCCTATGGGTCTCTATGGGTCCCTATGTGTCCCTATGGGTCCCTATGGGTCCCTATGGGTCTCTATGGGTCTCTATGGGTCCCTATGGGTCCCTATGGGTCTCTATGGGTCTCTATGGGTCCCTATGTGTCCCTATGGGTCTCTATGGGTCCCTATGTGTCCCTATGGGTCTCTATGGGTCCCTATGTGTCCCTATGGGTCCCTATGGGTCCCTATGGGTCTCTATGGGTCTCTATGGGTCCCTATGGGTCCCTATGGGTCTCTATGGGTCTCTATGGGTCCCTATGTGTCCCTATGGGTCTCTATGGGTCCCTATGTGTCCTATGGGTCTCTATGGGTCCCTATGTGTCCCTATGGGTCCCTATGGGTCCCTATGGGTCTCTATGGGTCCCTATGTGTCCCTATGGGTCTCTATGGGTCTCTATGGGTCCCTATGTGTCCCTATGGGTCCCTATGTGTCCCTATGTGTCTCTATGTGTCCCTATGTGTCTCTATGGGTCCCTATGGGTCCCTATGGGTCTCTATGGGTCGCTGTGGGGCGCTGTGGGGCTCACCTGGATGTACTCGGTGAGGCTGTTGAAGACCTGCTTGGCCACGGCCATGGCCTTGGAGAAGTTCCGCTTCCCGTGCTCGTCGATGACCTCCTTGCCCGAGTAGTACCAATAGAAATCACTGATGGACTCCTGCCGGACCCAGCGGGCATCAGCGCCATGGGGCGCCATGGGGCGCTATGGGGCGCTATGGGGCGCTATGGGGTGCTATGGGGCGCTATGAGGCGCTATGGGGCGCTATGGGGCTCTATGGGGCGCTATGGGGCTCTATGGGGCTCTATGGGGCGCTATGGGGCACTATGGGGCACTATGGGGCGCTATGGGGCTCTATGGGGCACTATGGGGCACTATGGGGCGCTATGGGGCGCTATGGGGCTCTATGGGGCGCTATGGGGCGCTATGGGGCTCTATGGGGCGCTATGGGGCACTATGGGGCACTATGGGGCGCTATGGGGCTCTATGGGGCCACTATGGGGCACTATGGGGCGCTATGGGGCACTATGGGGCGCTATGGGGCGCTATGGGTGCCATGCGTCTCTATGGGTGTCATCGGTCTCTATGGGTGCCATGCGTCTCTATGGGTGTCATCGGTCTCTATGGGTGCCATGGGTCTCTATGGGTGTCATCGGTCTCTATGGGTGCCATGGGTCTCTATGGGGCGCTATGGGGCGCTATGGGGCGCTATGGGGCGCTATGGGTGCCATGCGTCTCTATGGGTGCCATCGGTCTCTATGGGGCGCTATGGGGCGCTATGGGGCGCTATGGGGCACTATGGGTGCCATTTGTCTCTATGGGTGCCATGGGTCTCTATGGGGCGCTATGGGGCGCTATGGGGCTCTATGGGGCGCTATGGGGCGCTATGGGGCTCTATGGGGCGCTATGGGGCTCTATGGGTGCCATGCGTCTCTATGGGTGCCATGCGTCTCTATGGGTGCCATGGATCTCTATGGGGCGCTATGGGGCGCTATGGGGCGCTATAGGGCGCTATGGGGCTCTATGGGTGCCATGCGTCTCTATGGGTGCCATTCGTCTCTATGGGTGCCATGGGTCTCTATGGGGCGCTATGGGGCGCTATGGAGCTCTATGGGGCGCTATGGGGCTCTATGGGGCTCTATGGGTGCCATGCATCCCTATGGGTGTCATCGGTCTCTATGGGGCGCTATGGGGCGCTATGGGGTGCTATGGGGCGCTATGGGGCTCTATGGGGCTCTATGGGTGCCATGGGTCTCTATGGGGCGCTATGGGGCTCTATGGGTCTCTATGGGTGCCATGGGTCTCTATGGGTGCCATGCGTCTCTATGGGTGCCATGGGTCTCTATGGGGCGCTATGGGGCGCTATGGGGCACCATGGGGCACTATGGTCCCTATGGGTCTCTATGGGTTCCATGGGTCTCTATGGGTCTCTATGGGTTCCATGGGTCCCTATGGGTCCCTATGGGTCCCAATGGGTCCCTATGGTCCCTATGGGTCCCCGTGGGCCCCACGGCACCTGCAGGCGCAGCAGGTAGTCCACGGTGCAGATGATGATGTTGATGGTGGTCGTGTTCCCCGTCTGCGTCCGGAGGTAGTTCTGGAAGTCTGGGGGGCGGCGGGGTCAGCGCTGCCCCATAGCCCTGCCCCATAGCCCTGCCCCATAGCCCAGCCCCATAGCCCAGCCCCATAGCCCAGCCCCATAGCCCTGCCCCATAGCCCAGCCCCATAGCCCTGACCCATAGCCCAGCCCCACAGCCCAGCCCCATAACCCAGCCCCATAGCCCACCCCCATAGCCCTGCCCCATAGCCCTGCCCCACAGCCCAGCCCCATAGCCCACCCCCATAGCCCTGCCCTCCATAGCCCAGCCCCATAGCCCACCCCCATAGCCCAGCCCCATAGCCCAGCCCCATAACCCAGCCCCATAGCCCTGCCCCATAGCCCTGCCCATAGCCCTGCCCCATAGCCCAGCCCCATAGCCCTGCCCCATAGCCCTGCCCCATAGCCCTGCCCCATAGCCCAGCCCCATAGCCCTGCCCCATAGCCCAGCCCCATAGCCCTGCCCCATAGCCCTGCCCATAGCCCAGCCCCATAGCCCACCCCCATAGCCCAGCCCCATAACCCAGCCCCATAGCCCACCCCCATAGCCCAGCCCCATAGCCCACCCCCATAGCCCAGCCCCATAGCCCACCCCCATAGCCCAGCCACGTAGCCCTGCCCCATAGCCCAGCCCCATAGCCCACCCCCATAGCCCAGCCCCATAGCCCAGCCCCATAGCCCACCCCCATAGCCCAGCCACGTAGCCCTGGCCCCATAGCCCACCCCCATAACCCAGCCCCATAGCCCAGCCCCATAGCCCTGCCCCATAGCCCTGCCCCATAGCCCACCCCCATAGCCCAGCCCCATAGCCCACCCCCATAGCCCTGCCCCATAGCCCAGCCCCATAGCCCACCCCCATAGCCCTGCCCCATAGCCCAGCCCCATAGCCCACCCCCATAGCCCAGCCCCATAACCCAGCCCCATAGCCCACCCCCATAGCCCAGCCCCATAACCCAGCCCCATAGCCCAGCCCCATAGCGCTGCCCCATAGCCCAGCCCCATAGCCCTGCCCCATAGCCCCTGCCCCATAGCGCTGCCCCATAGCGCTGCCCCATAGCCCTGCCCCATAGCGCTGCCCCATAGCGCTGCCCCATAGCCCAGCCCCATAGCGCTGCCCCATAGCCCAGCCCCATAGCCCTGCCCCATAGCCCTGCCCCATAGCCCAGCCCCATAGCCCTGCCCCATAGCCCAGCCCCATAGCCCAGCCCCATAGCCCTGCCCCATAGCCCTGCCCCATAACCCAGCCCCATAGCCCTGCCCCATAACCCAGCCCCATAGCCCTGCCCCATAGCCCAGCCCCATAGCCCTGCCCCATAGCGGGAGCCCCTCACCGTTGTTGTGGCCCTCGCAGAGCAGCTGCAGCAGCCGGAAGAGGTCCTGGGTGAACTCATCATCGGCCATCACCTTCTCCCCTAGGGCGCCCCATAGAGACCGTGGGAGGGGCCCCATAGAGACAATGGGGAGGGGACCCCATAGAGACAATGGGGACCCCATAGAGACAATGGGGAGGGGCCCCATAGAGACAATGGGGACCCATAGAGACAATGGGGAGGGGCCCCATAGAGACAATGGGGACCCATAGAGACAATGGGGACCCCATAGAGACAATGGGGACCCCATACAGACCGTGGGGAGGGACCCCATAGAGACAATGGGGACCCATAGAGACAGTGGGGACCCATAGAGACAATGGGGACCCCATAGAGACAATGGGGAGGGGCCCCATAGAGACAATGGGGAGGGGACCCCATAGAGACAATGGGGACCCCATAGAGTGACATTGGGGACCCCATAGGAGACAATGGGGACCCCATAGGGTGACATTGGGGACCCATAGAGACAGTGGGGAGGGGACACCATAGAGACAATGGGGACCCCATAGGAGACAATGGGGACCCCATAGGGTGACATTGGGGACCCCATAGGGTGCAGGGTGTTAGCTTGGGGGGAGAGGCAGCAGGACCAGGGGGGCACAAGCAGGACCAGGCAATGGGGGGACAGCCAGGGACACCCCATAGACACTGTGGGGCCCCCCTATAGCCCCTATAGCCCCCTAGAGATGCCATAACCCCTGTAGCCCCTATAGGCCCCATAGCCCCTATAGCCCCCTATAGCCCCTATCCCCCTATAGCCCCCATAGTCCCTATAGCCCCTATAGCCCCTATACCGCCCATATCCCCCTATAAACCCTGTAGCCCCTATAGCCCCCACAGCCCCCATAGCCCCCATAGTCCCTATACCCCCCATATCCCCCTATAGCCCCTATAGCCCCTACAGCCCCTATAGCCCCCATATCCCCCTATAGCCCCTACAGCCCCATAGCCCCCATAGCCCCCATATCCCCCATACCCCCATACGCCCATACCCCCCATAGCCCCTATAGCCCTCATAGTCCCTATAGCCCCTATACCCCCCATATCCCCCTATAGCCCCTATAGCCCCTACAGCCCCTATAGACCCCATATCCCCCTATAGCCCCTACAGCCCCCATAGCCCCCTATAGCCCCCATAGCCCCCATACGCCCATACCCCCCATAGCCCCTATAGCCCCCATAGCCCCCATAGCCCCCATACCCCCCATAGCCCCCTATACCCCCCATTGCCCCCATAGCCCCCCATAGCCCCTATACTCCCATAGCCCCCATACTCCCCATACTCCCTATATCCCCTATACCCCCCATAGCCCCATACCCCCATAGCCCCCCATAGCCCCATACCCCCCATAGCCCCCTATATCCCCCCATAGCCCCATACCCCCCATAGCCCCATAGCCCCCTATATCCCCCCATACCCCATAGCCCCATAGCCCCATACCCCCCATAGCCCCCTATATCCCCCCATAGCCCCCCATAGCCCCATAGCCCCATAGCCCCATAGCCCCCTATACCCCCCATAGCCCCATAGCCCCCCATAGCCCCATAGCCCCATAGCCCCATAGCCCCCTATACCCCCCATAGCCCCCTATACCCCCCATAGCCCCATAGCCCCATAGCCCCATAGCCCAGGGATGGTATTTACCATTGTCTCTGCTGACTGCACCAGGAGCCAGGGTGGGAAGAGAAGGGAGAGAGGAGGTGAGCGGGGGGGATCAGTGGGGCTGGGGGGGATCAATGGGGTGGGGGGGATCAGGAGGGTGGGGGGGATCAGTGGGGCGGGGGGGGATCAGTGGGGTTTGGGGGGATCAGTGGGGTTTGGGGGGATCAATGGGGTGGGGGGGGATCAGTGGGGCTGGGGGGGATCAGTGGGGTGGGGGGGATCAGTGGGGCTGGGGGGATCAATGGGGTGGGGGGATCAGTGGGGTGGGGGGGGATCAATGGGGTGGGGGGGGATCAGTGAGGTGGGGGGGGATCAGTGGGGTGGGGGGGGGATCAATGGGGTGGGGGGGGATCAGTGGGGCTGGGGGGATCAATGGGGTGGGGGGGATCAGTGGGGTGGGGGGGGATCAATGGGGTGGGGGGGGATCAGTGAGGTGGGGGGGATCAGTGGGGGTGGGGGGGGATCAATGGGGTGGGGGGGGATCAGTGGGGTTGGGGGGGATCAATGGGGTGGGGGGGGATCAGTGGGGTTGGGGGGGATCAATGGGGTGGGGGGGATCAGTGGGGTTGGGGGGGGATCAATGGGGTTGGGGGGATCAATGGGGTGGGGGGGGATCAGTGGGGTTGGGGGGGATCAGTGGGGTTGGGGGGGATCAATGGGGTGGGGGGGATCAGTGGGGCTGGGGGGGATCAGTGGGGCTGGGGGGGATCAGTGGGGTTGGGGGGGATCAATGGGGTGGGGGGGATCAGTGGGGTGGGGGGGATCAATGGGGTGGGGGGGATCAGTGGGGCTGGGGTCATTCACAGCAGGGGTGGGGGGGATCAGTGGGGCTGGGGGGGATCAGTGGGGCTGGGGGGGATCAATGGGGTGGGGGGGATCAATGGGGTGGGGTTCAATGGGGTTGAGGGGGATCAATGGGGTGGGGGGGATCAGTGGGGTGGGGATCAATGGGGCTGGGGGGGATCAGTGGGGCTGGGGGGGATCAATGGGATGGAGGGGGATCAGTGGGGCTGGGGTCATTCACAGCAGGGGTGGGTTGGGGGGCAGCAGCGTAGCGATGGGGACCCCCAGTTCCACCCCTTGGCCCCCTGGGTCCCATAGGGAGCTGTGGGTGTGGGGGTCTCATGGGTGCTATGGGTGCTGTGGGTGCTGTGGGTGCTGTGGGTGCTATGGGTGCTGTGTGTTCTATGGGTGCTGTGTGTTCTATGGGTGCTATGGGTGCTGTGGGTGCTATGGGTGCTATGGGTGCTATGGGTGCTGTGTGTTCTATGGGTGCTATGGGTGATGTGTGTTCTATGGGTGCTGTGGGTGCTATGGGTGCTGTGTGTTCTATGGGTGCTATGGGTGCTATGGGTGCTGTGTGTTCTATGGGTGCTGTGGGTGCTGTGTGTTCCTATGGGTGCTATGGGTGCTGTGTGTTCTATGGGTGCTATGGGTGCTATGGGTGCTATGGGTGCTATGGGTGCTGTGTGTTCTATGGGTGCTATGGATGCTATGGGTGCTGTGTGTTCTATGGGTGCTATGGGTGCTATGGGTGCTTGTGTGTTCTATGGGTGCTATGGGTGCTATGGGTGCTATGGGTGCTGTGTGTTCTATGGGTGCTATGGGTGCTATGGGTGCTATGGGTGCTATGGGTGCTATGGGTGCTATGGGTGCTATGGGTGCTATGGGTGCTGTGTGTTCTATGGGTGCTGTGTGTTCTATGGGTGCTATGGGTGCTGTGGGTGCTGTGGGTGCTATGGGTGCTATGGGTGCTGTGTGTTCTATGGGTGCTATGGGTGCTATGGGTGCTATGGGTGCTATGGGTGCTGTGTGTTCTATGGGTGCTGTGGGTGCTGTGGGTGCTGTGGGTGCCACTCACTGGTGCCGTCCTCAGACACCATGCCCAGCCCCATGGCCTTGTTCTGCCGCTCGAAGGCGTTGAGATCCAGGACGCTGGGGGGAGGGGGCAGGATGGGACCCAACCCCCCCCCCCATTGACCCCCAACCCCCCCCATTGACCCCAACCCCACCCATTGACCCCCAACCCCCACCCATGGACCCCAACCCCCCCCCATTGACCCCAACCCCCCCATTGACCCCCAACCTCCCCCCCATTGACCCCAACCCCCCCATTGACCCCCAACCTCCCCCCCATTGACCCCAACCCCCACCCATTGACCCCCAACCCCCACCCATTGACCCCCAACCCCCCATTGACCCCCCCATTGACCCCCAACCCCCCCCATTGACCCCAACCCCCCCCATTGACCCCCAACCCCCCCCCATTGACCCCCCCCATGGACCCCAAACCCATCCCAACCCCCCCCCCCCGTTCCCATGGGTCCCCCCCATTGCCATGGGGTCGGTGGCGTCGCTATGGGGCAGCCCCACCTGCAGGTCTGCATCAGGGCCTGGAGGCTCTGGAAGAAGCCGACCTCGCGCTTCTCCTTCAGGTAATCCAGCATTTTCTGTGGGGCACGCGTGGAACACGTGAGGAACATGCATGGAACATACATGGAACATACATGGAACACGTGAAGAACATGTGAGGAACATGCATGGAACGTACATGGAACATACATGGAACACGTGAAGAACACGTGAGGAACATGCATGGAACGTACATGGAACATACATGGAACATACATGGAACACATGAAGAACACGTGAGGAACATGCATGGAACGTACATGGAACATACATGGAACATACCATGGAACACGTGAAGAACACGTGAGGAACATGCATGGAACACATGAGGAACAGGCATGGAACACGTGAGGAACACATGAGGAACACACATGGAACATACATGGAACATACATGGAACATGTGAGGAACATACATGGAACGTAACATGGAACGTACGTGGAACGATACGTGGAAGAAAAACACAGTACATGGAACGTACATGGAACATACATGGAACGTACATGGAATGTACATGGAATGTACATGGAACGTGTGAGGAACATACATGGAACATACATGAACACACACGGCACAAGTATGAACACCCATGGTGCACACATGAACACGTATGAACACCCATGAACACCCCTGAACACCCCTGAACGCCCATGAACATGTATGAACACATATGAACACGTATGAACACCCATGGCACACACATGGCACACGTATGAACACCCATGGCACACCCATGGCACACGTATGAACACGTATGAACACCCATGGCACACCCATGGCACACGTATGAACACCCATGGCACACCCATGGCACACGTATGAACACGTATGAACACCCATGGCACACCCATGGCACACGTATGAACACCCATGGCACACCCATGGCACACGTATGAACACGTATGAACACCCATGAACACCCCGGTACCTGCTGCACGTCCGCGTTGCCCCCGTTGAGGATGGAGATCCCAGCTTGAGCGTGGAGGAAACCATGGCCCCGCGCTCGCCTGTGGGGCACGGCCCCATAGTGACCCCAGCCCATGGTGACCCCAATCCCATAATAACCACAACCCATAGTGACCCCATCCCATAATAACCACAACCCATGGTGACCCCATCCCATAATAACCCCAGCCCATGGTGACCCCATCCCATAATAACCACAACCCATAGTGACCCCATCCCATAATAACCACAACCCATGGTGACCCCATCCCATAATAACCCCAGCCCATGGTGACCCCATCCCATAATAACCCCAGCCCCATGGTGACCCCATCCCATAATAACCCCAACCCATGGTGACCCCATCCCATAATAACCACAACCATGGTGACCCCATCCCATAATAACCCCAACCCATGGTGACCCCCATCCCATAATAACCCCAACCCATGGTGACCCCAGCCCATAATAACCCCAACCCATGGTGACCCCATCCCATAATAACCACAACCCATGGTGACCCCATCCCATAATAACCACAACCCATGGTGACCCCATCCCATAATAACCACAACCCATGGTGACCCCATCCCATAATAACCCCAACCCATGGTGACCCCATCCCATAATAACCACAACCCATGGTGACCCCATCCCATAATAACCCCAGCCCATGGTGACCCCATCCCATAATAACCCCAGCCCATGGTGACCCCAGCCCATAATAACCACAACCCATGGTGACCCCATCCCATAATAACCCCAGCCCATGGTGACCCCATCCCATAATAACCCCAGCCCATGGTGACCCCATCCCATAATAACCCCAGCCCATGGTGACCCCATCCCATAATAACCACAACCCATGGTGACCCCATCCCATAATAACCACAGCCCATGGTGACCCCATCCCATAATAACCCCAGCCCATGGTGACCCCATCCCATAATAACCCCAGCCCATGGTGACCCCATCCCATAATAACCACAACCCATGGTGACCCCAGCCCATAATAACCACAACCCATGGTGACCCCATCCCATAATAAACCACAGCCCATGGTGACCCCATCCCATAATAACCACAACCCATGGTGACCCCATCCCATAATAACCACAGCCCATGGTGACCCCATCCCATAATAACCACAGCCCATGGTGACCCCATCCCATAATAACCACAACCCATGGTGACCCCATCCCATAATAACCCCAACCCATGGTGACCCCATCCCATAATAACCCCAGCCATGGTGACCCCATCCCATAATAACAAAACCCATGGTGACCCCATCCCATAATAACCACAACCCATGGTGACCCCATCCCATAATAACCCCAGCCCATGGTGACCCCATCCCATAATAACCCCAGCCCATGGTGACCCCATCCCATAATAACCACAACCCATGGTGACCCCATCCCATAATAACCACAACCCATGGTGACCCCAGCCCATAATAACCCCAGCCCATGGTGACCCCAGCCCATCCACCCCCATAGACCCCATAGACCCCACACACCCCAGCCCCACACACCCCATAGACCCACAGCCCCCCACCCCAGCCCCATAGACCCCACAAACCCCCCACACCCCATAGGCCCCATAGACCCCACCCCAGCCCCATAGAGCCCATAGGCCCCACAGACCCCACCCCAGCCCATAGACTCCACACACCCCACACCCCCCACACCCCATGGGCCCCACAGCCCCCACCCCAGCCCCATAGAGCCCATAGGCCCCACAGACCCCACCCCAGCCCCCATAGACCCCACACCCAACAGGCCCCATAGGCCCCACAGAGCCCACCCCAGCCCCATAGAGCCCCCATGGGCCCCACAGAGCCCAGCCCCACAGAGCCCCCATAGACCCCACAGACCCCACAGAGCCCAGCCCCACAGAGCCCAGCCCCACAGAGCCCAGCCCCATAGAGCCCAGCCCAGCCCCATTAGAGCCCCCACAGGCCCCATAGACCCCACAGAGCCCAGACCCACAGAGCCCAGCCCCATAGAGCCCAGCCCCACAGAGCCCAGCCCCATAGAGCCCCGCCCCACAGATCCCCGCCCCACGGCCCCACCCTTGCAGGCGCTGATCATTTGCAGAACCATCTCTGCCGCCCCCCGCGTGTGCAGCCGCGCCTGCTGGTACCGCAGCTTCTGCTTCTCCATCTCCTTCTCCTGGGGGCGGGGGCAGGGGGATGGGGGGAGCTGTGGGGCTGGGGGGCGGGGAGCAGTGGGGCAGCAGGGGGCAGTGGGGCTGGGGGGGCTGGGAGGGGTCAGTGGGGCTGGGGGGCTGGGGGGCGGGGGGCTGTGGGGCTGGGGGGGTCAGTGGGGCAGTGGGGCTGGGGGAGCAGTGGGGCAGCAGGGGGCAGTGGGGCTTGGGGCTGGGGGGCTGGGGGGGGTGGGGGCGGGGGGCAGTGGGGCGGGGAGGGGTCAGTGGGGCTCGGGGGGGTGGGGGGTGGGGGGGGCTGTGGGGCTTGGGGAGCAGTGGGGCTGGGAGGGGTCAGTGGGGCAGTGGGGCTGGGGGGGGCTGTGGGGCTGGGAGGGGCTGGGAGGGGGTCAGTGGGGCTGGGGGTCAGTGGGGCTGGGGGGGCAGTGGGGCTGGGGGGTGGGGGGGGCTGGGGGAGCAGTGGGGCAGCAGGGGGCAGTGGGGCTGGGGGGTGGGAGGGGTCAGTGGGGCTGGGGGAGCAGTGGGGCTGGAGGGGGGCAGTGGGGCTGGGGGGGCAGTGGGGCTGGGGGCAGGGGGGCAGTGGGGCTATGGGTCAGTGGGGCTGGAGGGGGGCAGTGGGGCTGGGAGGGGTCAGTGGGGCTGGGGGGGCTGTGGGGCTGGGGGCAGTAGGGTGGGAGGGGCTGTGGGGCTGGATGGGGTCAGCGGGGCAGGGGGGTCAATGGGGCGGAGAGGGGTCAGTGGGGCTGGGGGGGCTGTGGGGCTGGGGGCAGTAGGGTGGGGAGGGGCTGTGGGGCTGGAGGGGGTCAGTGGGGCAGGGGGGTCAATGGGGCGGAGAGGGGTCAGTGGGGCTGGGGGCAGTGGGGCTACGGGTCAGTGGGGCGGGGGGCTGTGGGGCTGAAGGGGGTCAGTGGGGCTGTGGGGCTGGAGGGGGGCAGTGGGGCTATGGGTCAGTGGGGGCTGGGGGTCAGCAGGGCGGGGGGGCTGTGGGGCGGGGCGGGGCAGTGGGGCTGGGGGAGCAGTGGGGCAGTGGGGGCAGTGGGGTGGGGGGCTGTGGGGCTGGAGGGGTCAGTGGGGCCAGGGGGGATCAGTGGGGCCAGGGGGGATCAGTGGGGCCAGGCGGGGATCAGTGGGTCTATATGGGCTCCTATGAGCTCATAGGGTCCATATGGAGTCATTGAGCCCGCACAGCCCCCATGGGCTCACTGGGTGCCCCATAGGCCCCATAAGTGCCCTATAGGCCCCATGGGTGCCCCATAGGCCCCATAAGTGCCCCATAGGTCCCATGGGCTCCCTGGGTGCCCCATAGGCCCCATAAGTGCCCATAGGCTCCCTGGGTGCCCCATAGGCACCATGGGTGCCCATAGGCCCCATAAGTGCCCCATAGGCCCCATAAGTGCCCACCTCAAAGGAATCCTCCTCTTCTTCCTCCCCCTTCTCCTCCTCCTCTTCCTCCTCCTCCTCCTCAATGTGGCAGCTCTGGGGGGGGGGGGGGGCCAAGGCCTCAGCACCCCATAGCGGGGGGGGGGGGGGGGCACCAGGGCCCTGCCCCACACTTGTGGGGCTGGAGGTGGGGGGGGATCCATGGGGCGCTATGGGGCAGGCCCCACCTTGGCCATGATGCCGGCGTAGGCCATGTACAAGTGGTCGCTCTCCAGTTTGCTGCAGGCAATGGGGGGGGGACCCCACATCCACCATGGGGGGGGCAGATGGGGGGCACCCCTCGGAGCACCCCATTGAGCCCCCATCCCCATTGCCCCCCACTGCCCCCCATTGCCCCATTACCCCACTGCCCCCCATTGCCCCATAGCCCCCATTGCCCCACTGCCCCCCATTGCCCCACTGCCCCCCATTGCCCCATAGCCCCCCATTGCCCCACTGCCCCCCATTGCCCCATAGCCCCCCATTGCCCCATTGCCCCCCATTGCCCCATAGCCCCCCATTGCCCCACTGCCCCCCATTGCCCCATAGCCCCCCATTGCCCCATTGCCCCCCATTGCCCCATTTCCCCCCATTGCCCCCATTACCCCATTACCCCATTGCCCCATTGCCCCCATTGCCCCCCATTACCCCATTACCCCATTGCCCCATTTCCCCCTATTGCCCCCCATTACCCCATTACCCCATTGCCCCATTGCCCCCATTGCCCCCCATTACCCCATTACCCCATTGCCCCACTGCCCCCCACTGCCCCCCATTGCCCCCCATTGCCCCACTGCCCCCCATTGCCCCCATTGCCCCCCATTGCCCCACTGCCCCCCATTGCCCCCATTGCCCCCCATTGCCCCACTGCCCCCCATTGCCCCCCATTGCCCCATTGCCCCCCATTGCCCCCCACCTGCCCTCGGTCAGGGCCGTGCGGCTGAAGTGCAGCACGAGCTGGTGCAGTGGGTCCGGCTTCTTCTCCTCCTCCTCCTCCTCCTCCTCCTCCTCCTGCCCCGAGCGCTGCGACCCCAAAGCAGGGGCTCACAATGGGGTCACAATGGGGCTCGCAATGGGGCACGCAATGGGGGTCACAATGGGCACAGCAATGGGGCACGCAATGGGGCACAGCAATGGGGCACGCAATGGGGCACAGCAATGGGGCACGCAATGGGGCACAGCAATGGGGCACGCAATGGGGCACGCAATGGGGCACGCAATGGGGCTCGCAATGGGGCACGCAATGGGGGTCACAATGGGGCTCGCAATGGGGCACGCAATGGGGGTCACAATGGAGCACGCAATGGGGCACGCAATGGGGGTCACAATGGGGCACGCAATGGGGCACGCAATGGGGCACGCAATGGGGGTCACAATGGGGCACGCAATGGGGCTCGCAATGGGGCTCGCAATGGGGCACGCAATGGGGTCACAATGGGGTCACAATGGGGCTCACAATGGGGTCACAATGGGGCTCACAATGGGGCACGCAATGGGGCACACAATGGGGCTCGCAATGGGGCACGCAATGGGGCACGCAATGGGGCACACAATGGGGCACGCAATGGGGCTCGCAATGGGGCTCGCAATGGGGCACGCAATGGGGCACACAATGGGGCTCGCAATGGGGCTCGCAATGGGGCACACAATGGGGCTCGCAATGGGGGTCACAATGGGCTCGCAATGGGGCACGCAATGGGGGTCACAATGGGGCTCGCAATGGGGCTCGCAATGGGGCTCACAATGGGGCTCACAATGGGGCACGCAATGGGGCTCGCAATGGGGCACGCAATGGGGGTCACAATGGGGCTCGCAATGGGGGTCACAATGGGGGTCACAATGGGGCTCGCATGGGGTCACAATGGGGGTCACAATGGGGCTCGCAATGGGGGTCACAATGGGGGTCACAATGGGGGTCACAATGGGGCACGCAATGGGGCTCGCAATGGGCTCGCAATGGGGCACGCAATGGGGCACGCAATGGGGCACACAATGGGGTCACAATGGGGTCACAATGGGGCACGCAATGGGGCACGCAATGGGGGTCACAATGGGGCACGCAATGGGGGTCACAATGGGGGTCACAATGGGGCACGCAATGGGGGTCACAATGGGGCTCACAATGGGGTCACAATGGGGCTCACAATGGGGCTCGCAATGGGGCACGCAATGGGGCACAGCAATGGGGCACGCAATGGGGGTCACAATGGGGCACACAATGGGGCACGCAATGGGGCACGCAATGGGGGTCACAATGGGGCACGCAATGGGGCACGCAATGGGGGTCACAATGGGGCACGCAATGGGGCACGCAATGGGGCACGCAATGGGGCACGCAATGGGGCTCGCAATGGGGCACACAATGGGGCACGCAATGGGGGTCACAATGGGGCACGCAATGGGGCACGCAATGGGGGTCACAATGGGGCTCACAAAGGGGCACGCAATGGGGCACGCAATGGGGGTCACAATGGGGCTCACAAAGGGGCACGCAATGGGGCACGCAATGGGGGTCACAATGGGGCACGCAATGGGGGTCACAATGGGGCTCGCAATGGGGCACGCAATGGGGGTCACAATGGGGGTCACAATGGGGCACGCAATGGGGGTCACAATGGGGCACGCAATGGGGCACGCAATGGGGGTCACAATGGGGCACGCAATGGGGCACGCAATGGGGCACGCAATGGGGCTCGCAATGGGGCACAGCAATGGGGCACGCAATGGGGCTCGCAATGGGGGTCACAATGGGGCACGCAATGGGGCTCGCAATGGGGCACGCAATGGGGCTCGCAATGGGGCACGCAATGGGGCTCGCAATGGGGCTCACAATGGGGCACGCAATGGGGCACGCAATGGGGCTCGCAATGGGGCACGCAATGGGGCTCGCAATGGGGCACGCAATGGGGCTCGCAATGGGGCTCACAATGGGGCACGCAATGGGGCACGCAATGGGGCTCGCAATGGGGCACGCAATGGGGCACGCAATGGGGGTCACAATGGGGCACGCAATGGGGCACGCAATGGGGCTCACAATGGGGCACGCAATGGGGGCTCGCAATGGGGGTCACAATGGGGCACGCAATGGGGGTCACAATGGGGCACGCAATGGGGCAGGCAATGGGCACGCAATGGGGGTCACAATGGGGCTGATATGGGGCAGCGCTATGGGGCCGATGGGGGGCAGCGCTATGGGGCTGGTGTGGGTCAGCGCTATGGGGCCGCTGTGGGGCAGCGCTATGGGGTGATCTGGGACAGCACTATGGGGGTGCTGTGGGGCAACGCTATGTGACCGCTGTGGGTCAGTGCTGTGGGGTGCTGTGGGTCAGCGCTATGGGGCTCTGTGGGGCGCTGTGGGTCAGCGCTATGGGTCAGCGCTATGGGTCAGCGCTATGGGGCGCTATGGGGTGCTGTGGGTCAGCGCTATGGGTCAGCGCTATGGGGCGCTGTGGGTCAGCGCTATGGGTCAGCGCTATGGGGCGCTATGGGGCGCTGTGGGTCAGTGCTATGGGTCAGCGCTATGGGGCGCTATGGGGCGCTGTGGGTCAGCGCTATGGGTCAGCGCTATGGGTCAGCGCTATGGGGCGCTATGGGGCGCTGTGGGTCAGTGCTATGGGTCAGCGCTATGGGGCGCTGTGGGTCAGTGCTATGGGTCAGCACTATGGGGCGCTATGGGGCGCTATGGGGCGCTATGGGGCGCTGTGGGTCAGTGCTATGGGTCAGCGCTATGGGGCGCTATGGGTCGCTATGGGTCGCTATGGGGTGCTGTGGGTCAGCGCTATGGGTCAGCGCTATGGGGTGCTATGGGGCGCTATGGGGCGCTGTGGGTCAGCGCTATGGGTCAGCGCTATGGGGTGCTATGGGGCGCTATGGGGCGCTGTGGGTCAGCGCTATGGGTCAGCGCTATGGGGTGCTATGGGGCGCTATGGGGCGCTGTGGGTCAGTGCTATGGGTCAGTGCTATGGGGCGCTATGGGGCGCTATGGGTCAGCGCTATGGGGCGCTATGGGTCAGCGCTATGGGTCAGCACTATGGGTCAGTGCTATGGGGCGCTATGGGGCGCTGTGGGTCAGCGCTATGGGTCAGCACTATGGGTCAGCGCTATGGGGCGCTATGGGGCGCTATGGGGCGCTGTGGGTCAGTGCTATGGGTCAGCGCTATGGGGCGCTATGGGGCGCTGTGGGTCAGTGCTATGGGGCGCTATGGGGCGCTGTGGGTCAGCGCTATGGGTCAGCACTATGGGGCGCTATGGGGCGCTGTGGGTCAGTGCTATGGGGCGCTATGGGTCAGCGCTATGGGTCAGCACTATGGGTCAGCGCTATGGGGCGCTATGGGGCGCTATGGGGCGCTGCTCACGGCCAGGTCGTCGATCATGCGGTCCTCGAAGGGGTGCTCCTGCGGCTGCAGCCACTGCGCTCTGTAGGCCTCCAGGAAGAGGTTGCAGGCGCGGTGCCTGCGGGACCGGAGCCTCCCAGTTCAAACCCGTTCAAACCCAGCTCATCCCATTGGCCCCCATTGGCTCCCATTGGCTCCCAGTCCCCCCCGCTGGCTCCCATTGGCCCCCATTGGCTCCCATTGTCTCCCATTGGCTCCCAGTCCCCCCGCTGGCTCCCATTGGCCCCCGTTGGCCCCCGTTGTCTCCCATTGGCTCCCGTTGTCTCCCATTGGCCCCCGTTGGCCCCCGCTGCCTCCCCTTGGCCCCCGTTGTCTCCCATTGGCTCCCGTTGGATCCCATTGGCTCCCAGTCCCCCCCGCTGGCTCCCGCTGCCTCCCATTGGCCCCCGTTGGCCCCCGTTGTCTCCCGTTGGCTCCCGTTGTCTCCCATTGGCCCCCATTGGCCCCCGCTGCCTCCCCTTGGCCCCCGTTGTCTCCCATTGGCTCCCGTTGTCTCCCATTGGCCCCCGTTGGCCCCCGCTGCCTCCCATTGGCCCCCGTTGGCTCCCATTGGCCCCCATTGGCTCCCGTTGTCTCCCATTGGCTCCCGTTGGATCCCATTGGCTCCCAGTCCCCCCCGCTGGCTCCCATTGGCTCCCGGCGGCGCGCACCTGGGCAGGTTGTAGAGCGGGGCCATGCGGAAGCAGGCGACCACGGCGCGGCGCCGCTGCTTGGAGAGGAGCTTGTGCCACACGGCCCTCTTGGAGCGGAAGGCGTGCTCCGTCTGCCGGCAACCAATGGGCACCCTCAGCACCCAATGGGCACCCTCAGCACCCAATGGGCACCCTCAGCACCCAATGGGCACCCAATGGGGACCCTCAGCACCCAATGGGGACCCTCGGCACCCAATGGGGACCCTCAGCACCCAATGGGGACCCTCAGCACCCAATGGGCACCCTCAGCACCCAGTGGGCACCCTCAGCACCCAATGGGGACCCTCAGCACCCAATGGGCACCCTCAGCACCCAGTGGGCACCCTCAGCACCCAATGGGGACCCTCAGCACCCAACGGCACCCAATGGGCACCCTCAGCACCCAACGGCACCCAATGGGGACCCTCAGCACCCAACGGCACCCAATGGGGACCCTCGGCACCCAATGGGGACCCTCAGCACACAACAGCACCCAACGGCACCCAGCGGTACCCAATGGCACCCAACGACACCCAATGACACCCAACGGCACCCAATGGCACTCAATGACACCCAACTGCACTCAATGACACCCAATGGCACCCAGTGGCACCAATGGCACTCAATGGCACCCAATGACACCCCGTGGCACCAATGGCACTCAATGGCACCCAATGGCACTCAATGACACCCAATGGCACTCAATGACACCCAATGGCACCCAATGACCCAATGGCACCCAATGGCACTCAATGACACTCAACTGCACTCAATGGCACCCAATGGCACCAACGGCACCCAATGGCACCCAATGGCACTCGACGACACCCAACGGCACCCAACGACACCCAACAGCAAGCAACGGCACCCAATGGCACTCAACGACACCCAACGGCACCCAACGACACCCAACGGCACCCAATGGGCGCAGACCTGCTCGAGGTGGTAGAGCACGGCCACCACCTCCTGCACCCTGCGCATGATCCCAATGGGGACCCCATGACCCAACAGCACTCAATGACACCAATGACACCCAATGGCACCCAACGACACCCAACGGCACTCAATGGCACCCAACGGCACCAATGGCACCCAACGGCACCCAATGGCACCAATGGCACCCAATGGCACCCAACTGCACCCAATGGCACTCAATGGCACCCAATGGCACCCAATGGCACCCAATAACACCCAACTGCACTCAATGGCACCCAATGGCACCCAACGGCACCCAACGGCACCCAACGGCACTCAACGACACCCAACAGCACCCAACAGCACCCAATGGTACCCAATGACACCCAGTGGCACCAATGGCACCCAATGGCACCCAACGGTACCCAATGGCACCCAACAGCACTCAACGACACCCAAAGGCACCCAATGGTACCCAATGACACCCAGTGGCACCAATGGCACCCAATGGCACTCAATGGCACCAATGGCACCCAATGGCACCCAATGGCACCAATGGCACCCAATGGTACCCAATGGCACTCAATGGCACTCAATGACACCCAACGACACCCAACGACACCCAATGGCACCCAATGACACCCAATGGCACCCAATGGCACCCAATGTTACCCAATGACACCCAATGGCACCCAATGACACCCAATGGCACCCAATGACACCCAATGGCACCCAATGACACCCAACGGCACCCAATGGCACCCAATGGGCGCAGACCTGCTCGAGGTGGTAGAGCACGGCCACCACCTCCTGCACCCTGCGCACGATCTCAATGGGGACCCCATGACCCAACAGCACTCAATGACACCAGTGACACCCAATGGCACCCAACGACACCCAACGGCACTCAATGACACCAATGGCACCCAATGGCACCCAACGACACCCAATGGCACCCAACGACACCCAACGGCACCCAATGGCACCCAATGACACCCAACGACACCCAATGGCACCCAATGGCACCCAATGGCACTCAATGGCACCAATGGCACCCAATGGCACCCAATGGCACCAATGGCACCCAATGGTACCCAATGGCACTCAATGGCACTCAATGACACCCAACGACACCCAACGACACCCAATGGCACCCAATGACACCCAATGGCACCCAATGGCACCCAATGACACCCAACGACACCCAACGGCACCCAATGGCACCCAATGGCACTCAATGGCACCAATGGCACCCAATGGCACCCAATGGCACCAATGGCACCCAATGGTACCCAATGGCACTCAATGGCACTCAATGACACCCAACGACACCCAACGACACCCAATGGCACCCAATGACACCCAATGGCACCCAATGGCACCCAATGTTACCCAATGACACCCAATGGCACCCAATGACACCCAATGGCACCCAATGGCACCCAATGGCACCCAATGACACCCAATGGCACCCAATGGCACCCAAAGGCACCCAACGACACCCAATGGCACCCAATGGGCGCAGACCTGCTCGAGGTGGTAGAGCACGGCCGCCACCTCCTGCACCCTGCGCACGATCCCAATGGGGACCCCATGACCCAACAGCACTCAATGACACCCAATGGCACCCAATGGCACCCAATGACACCCAATGGCACCCAATGGCACCCAACGACACCCAACGGCACCCAATGGGCGCAGACCTGCTCGAGGTGGTAGAGCACGGCCGCCACCTCCTGCACCCTGCGCATGATCCCAATGGGGACCCCATGACCCAACAGCACTCAATGACACCAATGACACCCAATGGCACCCAATGTCACTCAATGACACCCAATGGCACCCAATGGCACTCAATGGCGCCCAATGGCACCCAATGGCAACCAACGGCACCCAATGGCACTCAATGACACCCAATGGCACCCAATGACCCAATGGCACCCAAAGGCACTCAATAACACCCAACTGCACTCAATGGCACCCAATGGCACCCAACGGCACCCAACAGCCCTCAACGACAGCCAATGGCACCCAATGGCACCAATGGCACCCAATGGCACCCAATGACACCCAATGACACCCAACGACACCCAATGGTACCCAATGACACCCAATGGCACCCAATGGCACCCAATGACACCCAATGGCACCCAATGTTACCCAATGACACCCAATGGCACCCAATGACACCCAATGGCACCCAATGGCACCCAATGGGCGCAGACCTGCTCGAGGTGGTAGAGCACGGCCGCCACCTCCTGCACCCTGCGCACGACGCGCTCGGGGCTCTCGGCGTCCGCCGCCTTCCCGGCGAGCTCCCGGTACAGATCCAGCTGCCAGCGCAGCGAGGAGCTGTTCTCCACCTGCGACATGGGGGGCAATGGGGGGCAATGGGGGGCAATGGGGACATGGGGGGCAATGGGGGGCAATGGGGCATGGGGGGCATGGGGGACATGGGGGACAATGAGGACATGGGGGGCAATGGGGGGCATGGGGGGCAATGGGGGGCAATGGGGACATGGGGGTCATGGGGGGCATGGGGGGCAATGGGGGCAATGGGGGGAATGGGGGGCAATGGGGGGCAATGGGGGGGCAATGGGGGGCAATGGGGGCAATGGGGGCAATGGGGGGCAATGGGGCATGGGGGGCAATGGGGGGCAATGGGGACATGGGGGGCAATGGGGGGCAATGGGGGCAATGGGAACAAGGGGGGGCAATGGGGGCTACAGGGGGAATGGGGGGCAATGGGGGGCAATGGGGCAAAGGTGGACACGGGGGTCATGGGGGGGCAATGGGGGCAATGAGGCAATGGGGTTAATGGGGGGCAATGGGTCTCAATGGGGTTCAATGGGGTCAATGGTGATCAATGGGGCTCAGAGGGGCTCAATGGGGTTCAATGGGGTTCAATGGGGCTCAGTGGGGCTCAGTGGGTCTCAATGGGTCTCAAAGGGGCTCAATGGGGCTCAATGGGGTCAATGGTGATCAGTGGGGCTCAATGGGGCTCAGTGGGGCTCAGTGGGTCTCAAAGGGGCTCAATGGGGTTCAATGGGGTCAATGGTGATCAGTGGGGCTCAATGGGGTTCAATGGGGCTCAATGGGTCTCAATGGGTCTCAAAGGGGCTCAATGGGGCTCAATGGGGTCAATGGTGATCAGTGGGGCTCAATGGGGTTCAATGGGGCTCAATGGGGCTCAGTGGGGCTCAATGGGGCTCAGTGGGGCTGGAGGGGTCTGACCTTGCTCTGCAGGTGCAGGTTGTTGCTCAGGAACTCCCGCACCTCCTCGTCCGTGTCCTTCTGTGGGGCACAGAGCGGAACCGGCTCAGGAGGGGGCCCTCAAGGGGGTGAAGCCCCATAACTGACCCCCAACCCCATAACTGACCCCAACCCCATAACTGACCCCAACCCCATAACTGACCCCACCCCCATAACTGACCCCCAACCCCATAACTGACCCCACCCCCATAACTGACCCCAACCCCATAACTGACCCCCAACCCCATAACTGACCCCAACCCCATAACTGACCCCCAACCCCATAACTGACCCCAACCCCATAACTGACCCCCAACCCCATAACTGACCCCAACCCCATAACTGACCCCAACCCCATAACTGACCCCCAACCCCATAACTGACCCCAACCCCATAACTGACCCCCAACCCCATAACTGACCCCAACCCCATAACTGACCCCCAACCCCATAACTGACCCCAACCCCATAACTGACCCCCAACCCCATAACTGACCCCAACCCCAAAACTGACCCCAACCCCATAACTGACCCCCAACCCCATAACTGACGCCAACCCCATAACTGACCCCAACCCCATAACTGACCCCAACCCCATAACTGACCCCAACCCCATAACTGACCCCCAACCCCATAACTGACCCCAACCCCATAACTGACCCCCAACCCCATAACTGACCCCAACCCCATAACTGACCCCCAACCCCATAACTGACGCCAACCCCATAACTGACCCCAACCCCATAACTGACCCCCAACCCCATAACTGACCCCAACCCCATAACTGACCCCAACCCCATAACTGACCCCAACCCCATAACTGACCCCCAACCCCATAACTGACCCCAACCCCATAACTGACCCCAACCCCATAACTGACCCCCAACCCCATAACTGACCCCAACCCCATAACTGACCCCCAACCCCATAACTGACCCCCAACCCCATAACTGACCCCCAACACCATAACTGACCCCCAACCCCATCAGCCCCATAGCCCCATAACTGACCCCCAACCCCATCAGCCCCATAGCCCCATAACCCCATCACCCCCATAACCGACCCACAACCCCATCAGCCCCATAGCCCCATAACTGACCCACAACCCCGTCACCCCCATAGCCCCATAACCCCATCACCCCCATAACCGACCCACAACCCCATCAGCCCCATAGCCCCATAACTGACCCACAACCCCGTCACCCCCATAGCCCCATAACCCCATCCCCCCCATAACCGACACATAGCCCCTTCACCAGCATAGCCCCATAACCCCATCACCCCCATAACCACCCCACAACCCCATCACCCCATAACCCTGCTATGGGTCGTCCCCCCTCTCCCATCACCCCATAACCCCCTCTATGAATCCATCCCCCCATAACCCCATCACCCCATAACCCCCCCCATCCCTCCCCACCCCCTCCATGGCTCCCCCATCCCACCCCCCACCAACTCTATGGGTCCCCCCCCATAGGTGCCCCCCTCCCCCCCATGGGTGCCCCCCTCCCCCACCATGGGTGCCCCCCTCCCCCCCATGGGTGCCCCACTCCCCCCCCATAGGTGCCCCCCTCCCCCCCATGGGTGCCCCCCTCCTCCCCCATGGGTGCCCCCCCCCCCCCATGGGTGCTCCCCTCCCCCCCATGGGTGCCCCCCCCCCCATGGGTGCCCCCCTCCCCCCCATAGGTGCTCCCCTCCCCCCCATAGGTGCTCCCCTCCCCCCCCATGGGTGCCCCCCTCCCCCCCCATAGGTGCCCCCCTCCCCCACCATGGGTGCTCCCCTCCCCCCCATGGGTGCCCCCCTCCCCCTCCATAGGTGCCCCCCTCCCCCCCCATGGGTGCTCCCCTCCCCCACCATCGCGTAGCGCCCCTTGGCCATGGCCATGAGCTCCTGGTCCGCGGGGGAGCAGAGGTTGAGGCCGATGGGGAGCAGCTTCTTGAGCGTGGCCACGATGAGCGAGGTGCGCACCGAGTACCGGTCCCCACGCCGGGGGGCGCCCGCGCGGCGCTCAGGGGGGCCCTGGGGGGCAGGACCCAGAGAGAACCATGGGGGACCCATAGCGAGCAATGGGGGACCCATAGAGAGTGATGGAGCAGTGATTGGGACCCATAGAGAGTGATGGAGCAGTGATTGGGACCCATAGAGAGTGATGGGGGACCCATAGAGAGTGATGGGGGACCCATAGAGAGTGATGGAGCAGTGATTGGGACCCATAGAGAGTGATGGAGCAGTGATTGGGACCCATAGAGAGCGATGGAGCAGTGATTGGGACCCATAGAGAGTGATGGAGCAGGGATTGGGACACATAGAGAGTGATGGAGCAGTGATTGGGACCCATAGAGAGTGATGGAGCAGTGATTGGGACCCATAGAGAGCCATGGGGCAGGGATTGGGACCCATAGAGAGCGATGGGGCAGGGATTGGGACCCATAGAGAGCCATGGGGAAGGGATTGGGACCCATAGAGAGCCATGGGGCAGGGATTGGGACCCATAGAGAGCCATGGGGCAGGGATTGGGACCCATAGAGAGTGATGGAGCAGTGATTGGGACCCATAGAGAGTGATGGAGCAGGGATTGGGACACATAGAGAGTGATGGAGCTGGGATTGGGACCCATAGAGAGCGATGGGGGACCCATAGAGAGCCATGGGGCAGGGATTGGGACCCATAGAGAGCCATGGAGCAGGGATTGGGACCCATAGAGAGTGATGGAGCAGTGATTGGGACCCATAGAGAGTGATGGAGCAGTGATTGGGACCCATAGAGAGTGATGGAGCAGGGATTGGGACCCATAGAGAGTGATGGAGCAGTGATTGGGACCCATAGAGAGTGATGGAGCAGTGATTGGGACACATAGAGAGTGATGGAGCAGTGATTGGGACACATAGAGAGTGATGGAGCAGTGAATGGGACCCATAGAGAGCCATGGGGCAGGGATTGGGACCCATAGAGAGCGATGGGGCAGGGATTGGGACCCATAGAGAGCCATGGGGAAGGGATTGGGACCCATAGAGAGCCATGGGGCAGGGATTGGGACCCATAGAGAGCCATGGGGCAGGGATTGGGACCCATAGAGAGTGATGGAGCAGTGATTGGGACCCATAGAGAGTGATGGAGCTGGGATTGGGACCCATAGAGAGCGATGGGGGACCCATAGAGAGCCATGGGGCAGGGATTGGGACCCATAGAGAGCCATGGAGCAGGGATTGGGACCCATAGAGAGTGATGGAGCAGTGATTGGGACCCATAGAGAGTGATGGGGCAGTGATTGGGACCCATAGAGAGTGATGGAGCAGTGATTGGGACCCATAGAGAGCGATGGAGCAGTGATTGGGACCCATAGAGAGTGATGGAGCAGTGATTGGGACCCATAGAGAGTGATGGAGCAGTGATTGGGACCCATAGAGAGTGATGGAGCAGTGATTGGGACCCATAGAGAGTGATGGAGCAGTGATTGGGACCCATAGAGAGTGATGGAGCAGTGATTGGGACACATAGAGAGTGATGGAGCAGTGATTGGGACACATAGAGAGTGATGGAGCAGTGAATGGGACCCATAGAGAGCCATGGGGCAGGGATTGGGACCCATAGAGAGCGATGGGGCAGGGATTGGGACCCATAGAGAGCCATGGGGAAGGGATTGGGACCCATAGAGAGCCATGGGGCAGGGATTGGGACCCATAGAGAGCCATGGGGCAGGGATTGGGACCCATAGAGAGTGATGGAGCAGTGATTGGGACCCATAGAGAGTGATGGAGCTGGGATTGGGACCCATAGAGAGCGATGGGGGACCCATAGAGAGCCATGGGGCAGGGATTGGGACCCATAGAGAGCCATGGAGCAGGGATTGGGACCCATAGAGAGTGATGGAGCAGTGATTGGGACCCATAGAGAGTGATGGGGCAGTGATTGGGACCCATAGAGAGTGATGGAGCAGTGATTGGGACCCATAGAGAGTGATGGGGCAGTGATTGGGACCCATAGCGAAGGGATGGGGAGCGTGGCCACGATGAGCGAGGTGCGCACCGAGTACCGGTCCCCACGCCGGGGGGCGCCCGCGCGGCGCTCAGGGGGGCCCTGGGGGGCAGGACCCACACAGAACCATGGGGGACCCATAGAGAGCAATGGGGGACCCATAGAGAGTGATGGGGGACCCATAGCAAAAGGGTGGGGGCAGTGACTGGGACCCATAGCGGAGGGAGGCGGGACCCATAGCAAAGGGATGGGAGCCCCACAGCAAAGGGATGGGAGCAGCAATGGGAGCCCCATAGCAAAGGGACGAGGCAGCGATGGGAGCCCCATAGCAAAGCGATGGGAGCCCCATAGCAGAGGGATGAGGCAGCGATGGGAGCCCCATAGCAAAGGGATGGGAGCCCCATAGCAAAGGGATGGGAGCAGCGATGGGGGCCCCATAGCAAAGGGATGGGAGCCCCATAGCAAAGGGATGGGAGCCCCATAGCAAAGGGATGGGAGCCCCATAGCAAAGGGATGAAGCAGCGATGGGAGCCCCATAGCAAAGGGATGGGAGCCCCATAGCAAAGGGATGGGAGCCCCATAGCAAAGGGATGAAGCAGCGATGGGAGCCCCATAGCAAAGGGATGGGAGCCCCATAGCAAAGGGATGGGAGCCCCATAGCAAAGGGATGAAGCAGCGATGGGGGCCCCATAGCAAAGGGATGGGAGCCCCATAGCAAAGGGATGGGAGCCCCATAGCAAAGCGATGGGAGCCCCATAGCAAAGCGATGGGAGCCCCATAGCAAAGGGATGGGAGCCCCATAGCAAAGGGATGGGAGCCCCATAGCAAAGGGATGAAGCAGCGATGGGAGCCCCATAGCAAAGGGATGGGAGCCCCATAGCAAAGGGATGGGAGCCCCATAGCAAAGGGATGGGAGCCCCATAGCAAAGGGATGGGAGCCCCATAGCAAAGGGATGAAGCAGCGATGGGAGCCCCATAGCAAAGGGATGGGAGCCCCATAGCAAAGCGATGGGAGCCCCATAGCAAAGCGATGGGAGCCCCATAGCAAAGGGATGGGAGCCCCATAGCAAAGGGATGGGAGCCCCATAGCAAAGCGATGGGAGCCCCATAGCAAAGCGATGGGAGCCCCATAGCAGAGGGACGAGGCAGCGATGGGAGCCCCGGTGCCCCCAGCCCCAGCTGTGAGCCTATGGGGCAGGACCCCCCCATGTCCCCATAGAGGGGGTGCCCCGGAGGGCTCTGGGGTCCCCCCCCACTGACCTGGCCATCTCCGGACTGGGGGTCAGCACCCACAGGCAGGAGGAGAGAAGAGACAGGATTAGGTCCTGGGGGGTTATGGGGGGCTTGGGGGTCCCGGGACCATGGGGGTGGATGGGAAGGGGTTGGTTATGGGGCGGATTGGGGGGGTTATGGGGGGTTTTGGGGGTACCAGGACCATTGGGATGGATGGAGAGGGGTGGGGATGGGTTGGTTATGGGGTGGTTTGGGGGTACCAGGACCATTGGGATGGATGGGGATGGATGGGTTGGGGGGCACTGGGGGGGTTATGGGGCGGTTTTGGGGGGTTATGGGGTGGTTTGGGGGTCCCGGGACCATTGGGATGAATGGGAAGGGATGGGTTGGGGAGCACTGGGTTGGTTATGGGGCAGTTTGGGGTTACCGGGACCATTGGGATGGATGGGGATGGATGGGTTGGGGGGCACTGGGTTGGTTATGGGGGGGTTTGGGGGTACCGGGACCATTGGGATGAATGGGAAGGGATGGGTTGGGGAGCACTGGGTTGGTTATGGGGCAGTTTGGGGTTACCGGGACCATTGGGATGGATGGGGATGGATGGGTTGGGGGGCACTGGGTTGGTTATGGGGTGGTTTAGGGGTCCCGGGACCATTGGGATGAATGGGGATGGATGGGTTGGGGGGCACTGGGTTGGTTATGGGGGGGTTTGGGGGGGTTATGGGGGGGTTTGGGGGTACCAGGACCATTGGGATGGATGGGGATGGATGGGTTGGGGGGCACTGGGTTGGTTATGGGGGGGTTTGGGGGGGTTATGGGGGGGTTTGGGGGTACCAGGACCATTGGGATGGATGGGGATGGATGGGTTGGGGGGCACTGGGTTGGTTATGGGGGGGTTTGGGGGTACCAGGACCATTGGGATGGATGGGGATGGGTGGGTTGGGGGGCGCTGGGTTGGTTATGGGGTGGTTTGGGGGTCCCGGGACCATTGGGATGCATGGGGAGGGGTGGGTTGGGGGGCACTGGGTTGGTTATGGGGTGGTTTGGGGGTACCAGGACCATTGGGATGGATGGAGAGGGGTGGGGATGGGTTGGTTATGGGGTGGTTTGGGGGGGTTATGGGGGGGTTTGGGGGTACCAGGACCATGGGGATGCATGGGGAGGGATGGGTTGGGGGGCACTGGGTTGGTTATGGGGCAGTTTGGGGGTACCAGGGCCATTGGGATGAATGGGGAGGGGTGGGTTGGGGGGCACTGGGTTGGTTATGGGGCGGTTTGGGGTTACCGGGACCATTGGGATGGATGGGGAGGGATGGGTTGGGGGGAACTGGGTTGGTTATGGGGTGGTTTTGGGGGGTTAGGGTGGGGTTTGGGGGTCCCGGAACCATTGGGATGGATGGGGATGGATGGGGCTGGGGGGCACTGGGTTGGTTATGGGGCAGTTTGGGGGTACCGGGACCATGGGGATGGATGGGGATGGATGGGTTGGGGGGTGCTGGGTTGGTTATGGGGCGGTTTGGGGGGGTTATGGGGGGCTTTGGGGGTACCGGGACCATTGGGATGAATGGGGATGGATGGGTTGGGGGGCACTGGGGGGGTTATGGGGCAGTTTGGGGGTACCGGGACCATTGGGATGGATGGGGATGGATGGGTTGGGGGGCACTGGGTTGGTTATGGGGGGGTTTGGGGGTACCGGGACCATTGGGATGAATGGGAAGGGATGGGTTGGGGAGCACTGGGTTGGTTATGGGGCAGTTTGGGGTTACCGGGACCATTGGGATGGATGGGGATGGATGGGTTGGGGGGCACTGGGTTGGTTATGGGGGGGTTTGGGGGTACCGGGACCATTGGGATGAATGGGAAGGGATGGGTTGGGGAGCACTGGGTTGGTTATGGGGCAGTTTGGGGTTACCGGGACCATTGGGATGGATGGGGATGGATGGGTTGGGGGGCACTGGGGGGGTTATGGGGCAGTTTGGGGTTACCGGGACCATTGGGATGCATGGGGAGGGATGGGTTGGGGGGCACTGGGTTGGTTATGGGGCGGTTTGGGGGTACCAGGGGGCCTGATGGATGGGTTGGGGGGCGCTGGGTTGGTTATGGGGCGCTCCGGGGCCCGCCGTGGGGCCGGTGCCCCACCTTGGCCATCTTGCTCTTGCTGTCGGCCGTCAGGAAGGACATGTTGTTGATCTCGTTCTGCACCACGAAGTTCTGCTCCTCGCGCTTGAAGTTCTGTGGGGCAGGGACCCTGAGGGGGACGTGTGGGGCAGAGCCCCACAGCTCCCCCCACATCCACCTCCGTGTCCCCCCCCCCCTTTGCCCCCCATTGGCTCCCCCCGGCCCCACTCACGTGGGACTTGGACCAGTAGATGAAGACCTCGCCCACCATGCGGAAGAGCTCCTCCGCGTCGGCGTTGGGCTCCGTCAGCCACTGGGCCCTGCCGGGGGGCAGCAACAGCAGTGGGTCCCCATGGACACCAGCAGTGGGTCCCCAGCATCAGTGGGTCCCCATGGACACCAACAGTGGGTCCCCAGCATCAGTGGGTCCCCATCGTCACTGGGTCCCCATGGACACCATTGTCATTGGGTCCCCATCATCATTGGGTCCCCATCATCATTGGGTCCCCATCATCAGTGGGTCCCCATGGACATCATCGTCATTGGGTCCCCATCATCATTGGGTCCCCATCATCAGTGGGTCCCCATCATCAGTGGGTCCCCATGGACACCAGAGTTGGGTCCCCATCATCAGTGGGTCCCCATGGACATCATCGTCATTGGGTCCCCATCATCATTGGGTCCCCATCATCGTTGGGTCCCCATCATCAGTGGGTCCCTACCATCAGTGGGTCCCCATGGACACCAGCAGTGGGTCCCCAGCATCATTGGGTCCCCATCATCAGTGGGTTCCTACCATCAGTGGGTCCCTACCATCAGTGGGTCCCCATGGACATCATCGTCATTGGGTCCCCATCATCATTGGGTCCCCATCATCAGTGGGTCCCTACCATCAGTGGGTCCCCATGGACATCATCGTCATTGGGTCCCCATTATCATTGGGTCCCCATCATCAGTGGGTCCCTACCATCAGTGGGTCCCCATGGACACCAGCAGTGGGTCCCCAGCATCAGTGGGTCCCCATGGACATCATCGTCATTGGGTCCCCATCATCATTGGGTCCCCATCATCAGTGGGTCCCCATCATCAGTGGGTCCCCATGGACACCAGAGTTGGGTCCCCAGCATCAGTGGGTCCCCATGGACATCATCGTCATTGGGTCCCCATCATCATTGGGTCCCCATCATCAGTGGGTCCCTACCATCAGTGGGTCCCCATGGACACCAGCAGTGGGTCCCCAGCATCAGTGGGTCCCCATGGACATCATCGTCATTGGGTCCCCATCATCATTGGGTCCCCATCATCATTGGGTCCCCATCATCAGTGGGTCCCTACCATCAGTGGGTCCCCATGGACACCAGCAGTGGGTCCCCAGCATCATTGGGTCCCCATCATCAGTGGGTTCCTACCATCAGTGGGTCCCTACCATCAGTGGGTCCCCATGGACATCATCGTCATTGGGTCCCCATCATCATTGGGTCCCCATCATCAGTGGGTCCCTACCATCAGTGTGTCCCCATGGACACCAGCAGTGGGTCCCAATCATCAATGGGTCCCCATGGACACCATTATTGGGTCCCCATGGACATCATTGTCATTGGGTCCACATCATCAGGTCCCCATCATCAGTGGGTCCCCATGGACATCATTGTCTTTGGGTCCCCATGGACACCATCAGTGGGTCCCCAGCATCAGTGGGTCCCCATGGACACCAGCAGTGGGTCCCAACGAACACCATCTGTGGGTCCCCATCATCATCGGGTCCCCATCATCAGTGGGTCCCCATGGCCACCACCACCCCCATTGGCTCCCCATGGCCACCACCCCCATTGGCTCCCCATGGCCACCACCCCCATTGGCTCCCCATGGCCACCACCCCCATTGGCTCCCCATGGCCACCACCCCCATTGGCTCCCCATGGCCACCACCACCATTGGGTCCCCATCACCGTTGGCTCCCCATGGACATCTTCGCCATTGGGTCCCCATCATCATTGGGTCCCCATGGCCACCACCACCATTGGCTCCCATGGCCAACATCACCATTGAGTCGCCATCATCATTGGGTCCCCATCATCATTGGCTCCCCATGGCCACCACCACCACCATTGCCTCCCCATGGCCACCACCCTCCCCATTGTCTCCCCATGGCCACCACCCTCCCCATTGGCTCCCCATGGCCACCACCACCCCCATTGGCTCCCCATGGCCACCACCACCATTGGCTCCCCATCACCATTGGCTCCCCATGGACATCATCGTCATTGGGTCCCCATCATCATTGGGTCCCCATGGCCACCACCACCATTGGCTCCCATGGCCAACACCACCACTGAGTCGCCATCATCATTGGGTCCCCATCATCATTGGGTCCCCATGGCCAACACCACCATTGAGTTGCCATCATCATTGGGTCCCCATCATCATTGGCTCCCCATGGCCACCACCACCACCATTGCCTCCCCATGGCCACCACCCTCCCCATTGTCTCCCCATGGCCACCACCCCCATTGGCTCCCCATGGCCACCACCACCATTGGGTCCCCATCACCGTTGGCTCCCCATGGACATCTTCGCCATTGGGTCCCCATCATCATTGGGTCCCCATGGCCACCACCACCATTGGCTCCCATGGCCAACACCACCATTGAGTCGCCATCATCATTGGGTCCCCATCATCATTGGCTCCCCATGGCCATCACCACCCCCATTGGCTCCCCATGGCCACCAGCACCCCCATTGGCTCCCCATGGCCACCACCCCCATTGGCTCCCCATGGCCACCACCACCATTGGGTCCCCATCACCATTGGCTCCCCATGGACATCATCGTCATTGGGTCCCCATCATCATTGGGTCCCCACCACCATTGCCTCCCCATGGCCACCACCACCATTGCCTCCCCATGGCCACCACCACCATTGGCTCCCATGGCCACCACCACCATTGAGTCGCCATCATCATTGGGTCCCCATCATCATTGGCTCCCCATGGCCATCACCACCCCCATTGCCTCCCCATGGCCACCACCACCATTGGCTCCCATGGCCAACACCACCATTGAGTCGCCATCATCATTGGGTCCCCATCATCAGTGGGTCCCCACCACCATTGCCTCCCCATGGCCACCACCACCATTGGCTCCCATGGCCAACACCACCACTGAGTCGCCATCATCATTGGGTCCCCATCATCATTGCCTCCCCATGGCCACCACCCTCCCCATTGTCTCCCCATGGCCACCACCACCATTGGCTCCCCATGGCCACCACCCTCCCCATTGCCTCCCCATAGCCACCCCCACCATTGGCTCCCCCCGGGGCTGGGGCCGCGGCCCTCACCGGCTGTTGTCCACGTAGCGGATGAGCAGCGGGTAGAGCGCGTAGAGGTCCCGGCAGAGGACGGCGAACTCATCGCGGATGAGCAGCTCGGCCTCCTCGCCCTCGCCCTTGGCCTCCATGCGGAGCTGCTCCTCCTCGGCCACCACCTTCCCCGCCCTCTTCTTCAGCTTCTCCATGGTGGGGATGAAGTGGGAGCGCAGCAGCTCCGGCTTCGCCTTGCTCACGATTGGCTGCGCGAACACTGCGGGGCGGGGACGGCGGCGACATCGACCAATGGCCGACGGCGCCGTCCATAACACAGCATCGACCCATGGCCAATGGCGACATCGACCAATGGCTGACGGTGCCATCCATAACACAGCATCGACCCATGGCCAATGGCAACATCGACCAATGGCCAACGGCGCCATCCATAACACAGCATCGACCCATGGCCATGAACAGCACCAACCCATGGCCAACGGCACCATCGACCAATGGCCAACGGCGCCATCCATAACACAGCATTGACCCATGGCCATGAACAGCACCAACCCATGGCCAACGGCGCCATTGACCAATGGCCAACGGCACCATTCATAACCCAGCATCGACCCATGGCCAATGGCGACATCGACCAATGGCCAACGGCGCCGTCCATAACACAGCATCGACCCATGGCCAACGGCACCATCGACCAATGGCCAACGGCGCCATCCATAACACAGCATCGACCCATGGCCAATGGCGACGTCGACCAATGGCCAACGGTGCCATCCATAACACAGCATCGACCCATGGCCAACGGCACCATTGACCAATGGCCCACGGCGCCATCCATAACACAGCATCGACCCATGGCCATGAACAGCACCAACCCATGGCCAACGGCACCATCGACCAATGGCCGACGGCGCCATCCATAACACAGCATTGACCCATGGCCATGAACAGCACCAACCCATGGCCAACGGCGCCATCGACCAATGGCCAACGGCATCATCCATAACCCAGCATCAACCCATGGCCAACAGAACCATCGATCCATGGCCAATGGCACCATCAACCAATGGCCAACGGCATCATCCATAACCCAGCATCGACCCATGGCCAACGGCACCATCTCTAGAACCTCTTAGGTCAACCACCATCACCCCAACACCCATTAAGGTCAACCACCATCACCCCAACACCCATTAAGGTCAACCACCATCACCCCAACACCCATTAAGGTCAACCACCATCAACCCAACACCCTTTGAGGTCAACCACCATCACCCCAACACCCATTAAGGTCAACCACCTTCAACCCAACACCCATTAAGGTCAACCACCATCACCCCAACACCCATTAAGGTCAACCACCATCACCCCAACACCCTTTGAGGTCAACCACCATCACCCCAACACCCATTAAGGTCAACCACGATTAACCCAACACCCATTAAGGTCAACCACCATCAACCCAACACCCATTAAGGTCAACCACCATCACCCCAACACCCATTAAGGTCAACCACCATCAACCCAACACCCATTAAGGTCAACCACCATCACCCCAACACCCATTAAGGTCAACCACCACCACCCCAACACCCATTAAGGTCAACCACGATTAACCCAACACCCATTAAGGTCAACCACCATCAACCCAACACCCATTAAGGTCAACCACCACCACCCCAACACCCATTAAGGTCAACCACGATTAACCCAACACCCATTAAGGTCAACCACCATCACCCCAACACCCATTAAGGTCAACCACCACCACCCCAACACCCATTAAGGTCAACCACCATCACCCCAACACCCTTTGAGGTCAACCACCATCACCCCAACACCCATTAAGGTCAACCACCATCACCCCAACACCCTTTGAGGTCAACCACCATCAACCCAACACCCATTAAGGTCAACCACCATCAACCCAACACCCTTTGAGGTCAACCACCATAACCCCAACACCCATTAAGGTCAACCACCATCAACCCAACACCCATTAAGGTCAACCACCACCACCCCAACACCCATTAAGGTCAACCACCATCACCCCAACACCCTTTGAGGTCAACCACCATCACCCCAACACCCATCAAGGTCAACCACCATCAACCCAACACCCATTAAGGTCAACCACCATCAACCCAACACCCATTAAGGTCAACCACCATCACCCCAACACCCTTTGAGGTCAACCACCATCAACCCAACACCCTTTAAGGTCAACCACCATCACCCCAACACCCTTTGAGGTCAACCACCATCACCCCAACACCCTTTGAGGTCAACCACCATCACCCCAACACCCATTAAGGTCAACCACCATCACCCCAACACCCATTAAGGTCAACCACCATCAACCCAACACCCATTAAGGTCAACCACCATCACCCCAACACCCATTAAGTTCAACCACCATCACCCCAACACCCATTAAGGTCAACCACCATCAACCCAACACCCATTAAGGTCAACCACCATCACCCCACCACCCATTAATGTCAACCACCACCACCCCACCACCCATTAAGGTCAACCACCATCACCCCAACACCCTTTGAGGTCAACCACCACCACCCCAAGACGCACTTAGGGTCCCCAGCCCCATCGAAGCCGACCCCCAGCACTCCGCCCCCCATCCCTCACCCGCCAGCCTCTTCATCCAGGCGGCCTCGTCGATGCCCAGGTTGTTGACCACGATGCGCAGGATGTTGCCCAGGAGGGTGTTGAGGTGGGCGCTGGTGACGGCCGTGGGGCAGGGCCCTTGGGGCCGCGCCTCGGCGCCGCGCTCCCACCAGCGGGGCAGGTAACTGCAGAGCATGGGCAGCGTCACCTCGATGATGTGGGGCATCTCCGTGTAGCGCGCCCCCGACTCGGCCAGCGCCCCGATGGCGCCCATGAGCTCCTCGAGGGACGGAACGTCCGGGCATAGGTCCTGAACCCGGCTCGGCAGGCCCAGCACTGCAATGGGGCAGGGAGGGGGGCACGGTGAGAGGGGGGAGCACAGTGGGGTAGGGGGAAGCCAATGGGGAAAGGGGGAAGCCAATGGGGAAAGGGGGAACTCAATGGGGAAGGGGGAACTCAATGGGGAAAGGGGTTCTCAACGATGAAGGGGGAAGCCAATGGGGAAGGGGGGGAAGCCAATGGGAAGGGGGAAGCCAATGGGGAAAGGGGGAAGCCAATGGGAAGGGGGAAGCCAATGGGGAAGGGGGAAGCCAATGGGGAAAGGGGGAAGCCAATGGGAAGGGGGAAGCCAATGGGAAGGGGGAAGCCAATGGGGAAGGGGGAAGCCAATGGGGAAGGGGGAAGCCAATGGGGAAAGGGGGAAGCCAATGGGAAAAGGGGGAAGCCAATGGGGAAGGGGGAACTCAACGATGAAGGGGGAAGCCAATGGGGAAGGGGGGAAGCCAATGGGGAAGGGGGAAGCCAATGGGGAAAGGGGGAAGCCAATGGGGAAGGGGGGAAGCCAATGGGGAAGGGGGAAGCCAATGGGAAAAGGGGGAAGCCAATGGGGAAGGGGGAACTCAACGATGAAGGGGGAAGCCAATGGGGAAGGGGGGAAGCCAATGGGGAAGGGGGAAGCCAATGGGGAAGGGGGAACTCAATGATGAAGGGGAAACCCAATGGGGAAGGGGGAAGCCAATGGGGTAGGGGGAAGCCAATGGGGAAGGGGGAAGCCAATGGGGAAGGGGGAAGCCAATGGGAAGGGGGAAGCCAATGGGGAAGGGGGAAGCCAATGGGGAAGGGGGAAGCCAATGATGAAGCGAGCACCCAATGGTGATGGGGGCACCCAATGGTGATGGGGGGTACCCAATGATGAAGGGGGCAGCCGCTGGGGATGGATGTGGGGCAGCCGCAGGGACAGATGTGGGGCAGGCATGGGGATGGATGTGGGGCAGGTGTGGGGCAGGTGCTGTGGGGCAGGAGTGGGGCAGGTGTGGGGCAGGTGTGGGGCAGGTGTGGGGCAGGTGTGGGGCAGGTGAGGGGCAGGTGCTGTGGGGCAGGCATGGGGATGGATGTGGGGCAGGTGTGGGGCAGGCGCTGTGGGGCAGGTGTGGGTCAGGTGTGGGTCAGGTGTGGGTCAGGTGTGGGGCAGGTGTGGGGCAGGTGTGGGGCAGGTGCTGACCGGCGCGCTCGCGGGCGGACTTGGTGCTGTGGGGCAGGCATGGGGATGGATGTGGGGCAGTTGTGGGGCAGTTGTGGGTCAGGTGTGGGGCAGGCGCTGTGGGGCAGGTGTGGGGCAGGCGCTGTGGGGCAGGTGTGGGTCAGGTGTGGGGCAGGTGTGGGTCAGGTGTGGGGCAGGTGTGGGGCAGGCGCTGTGGGGGAGCCATGGGGATGGATGTGGGGCAGGTGTGGGTCAGGTGTGGGGCAGGCGCTGTGGGGCAGGTGTGGGGCAGGTGTGGGTCAGGTGTGGGGCAGGTGTGGGGCAGGCGCTGTGGGGGAGCCATGGGGATGGATGTGGGTCAGGTGTGGGGCAGGTGTGGGGCAGGGAGTGGGGCAGGTGTGGGCAGGTGTGGGGCAGGCGCTGTGGGGGAGCCATGGGGATGGATGTGGGTCAGGTGTGGGTCAGGTGTGGGGCAGGCGCTGTGGGTCAGGTGTGGGGCAGGAGTGGGTCAGGTGTGGGTCAGGTGTGGGGCAGGTGTGGGGCAGGTGTGGGGCAGGAGTGGGTCAGGTGTGGGTCAGGTGTGGGTCAGGTGTGAGGCAGGTGTGGGTCAGGTGTGGGTCAGGTGTGGGTCAGGTGTGGGTCAGGTGTGGGTCAGGTGTGGGGCAGGTGTGGGGCAGGCGCTGACCGGCGCGCTCGCGGGCGGACTTGGTGCTGTAGACGGAGCAGGGGTTGAGGTGGTTGAGGTGGGGCTCCAGGAAGGCCACGGGCATGGCGGCCGCCAGCCGAGCCAGGCACTCCCCCAGCGCCCGGCCGCTGCCTGCGGGACCCACGGGGCTCAGACCCACAGCGCCCCACGGCACCGGGGCTCCGGGGCACACATAGAACACATAGAGACACATAGAGACACATAGAGCCCATAGAGCCCCCATAGAGCCCCATAGAGAACCATAGAGCCCATAGAGAACATAGAGACACATAGAGAACATAGAGCCCATAGAGAACATAGAGCCCATAGAGACACATAGAGACACATAGAGACACATAGAACCCATAGAGGCCCATAGAGACCCATAGAGAACATAGAGCCCATAGAACCCATAGAGCCCCATAGAGCCCATAGAGCCCCATAGAGCCCATAGAGACCCATAGAGCCCATAGAGACCCATAGAGTCCATAGAGCCCATAGAGCCCATAGAGCCCATAGAGCCCCATAGAGCCCCATAGAGAACATAGAGCCCATAGACCACATAGAGCCCCATAGAGCCCATAGAGCCCATAGAGAACATAGAGCCCATAGAACCCATAGCACCCATAGCATCCATAGCATCCATGGCACCCATAGCGCCCATAGAACCCATAGTGCCCATAGAGCCCCATAGAGAACATAGAGACATAGATTCCATAGAGCCCATAGAGACCATAGCTCCCATAGCACCCATAGTGCCCATAGCACCCATAGCACCCACAGTGCCCATAGAACCCATAGCACCCATAGCACCCATAGCACCCATAGCACCCATAGCACCCATAGCGCCCATAGCACCCATAGTGCCCATAGAGCCCATGGAACCCATAGCACCCATAGCACCCATAGTGCCCATAGAACCCATAGCACCCGTAGCACCTATAGCACCCATAGCATCCATAGCACCCATAGCACCCATAGCGACCATGGCACCCATAGAACCCATAGCACCCATAGCACCCATAGCATCCATAGCACCCATAGCACCCATAGAACCCATAGCATCCATAGCATCCATAGCGACCATGGCACCCATAGCACCCATAGCATCCATAGAACCCATAGCACCCATAGCACCCATAGCATCCATAGCACCCATAGCACCCCATAGCATCCATAGCACCCCCTAGCACCCATAGTGCCCATAGCACCCATAGCACCCATAGAACCCATAGCATCCATAGCACCCATAGCGACCATGGCACCCATAGCACCCATAGCATCCATAGAACCCATAGCACCCATAGCATCCATAGCACCCATAGCACCCATAGCATCCATAGCACCCCTAGCACCCATAGCACCCATAGCACCCATAGAAACCCATGGCATCCATAGCACCCATAGCAACCATGGCACCCATAGAACCCCATAGCACCCATAGCACCCACAGCCCCCACAACTCCCATATCACACCCCCCACAGCCCCCATACCCCCCACATCCCCACAGCCCCCATAGCCCCCACACCCCCCATAGCCCCACAGCCCCACACCCCCCCAGCCCCATAGCGCAGCCCCATAGCGCAGCCCCATAGATGGGAGGTCACCTCTCCATGTAGGGGTTCTTGGTGGTACCCAGGGAGTAGATGCTGCTGAGGATGCGGTAGCAGGAGACCTGGACGTCATCCACTGTGGGGCAGGGGCACCCGCCACGTTAGGGGGCAGGAACGGCCCCTGCGAGCCCCATAGCCCCTATACCCCATAGCCCCTATACCCCATAGCCCCATAGCCCCTATACCCCATAGCCCCATAGCCCCTATACCCCATAGCCCCATAGCCCCTATACCCCATAGCCCCTATACCCCATATACCCCATAGCCCCTATACCCCATAGCCCCATAGCCCCTATACCCCATAGCCCCATAGCCCCTATACCCCATAGCCCCTATACCCCATATACCCCATAGCCCTATACCCCGTATCCCATACTCCCATACCCCATAGCCCCTATACCCCATAGCCCCATAGCCCCTATACCCCATATACCCCATAGCCCCTATACCCCGTATCCCATACATCCCATACCCATAGCCCCTATACCCCATATACCCCATAGCCCCTATACCCCGTATCCCATACATCCCATACCCCATAGCCCTATACCCCATAGCCCATACATCCCATACCCCATAGCCCCCATACCCCATCCACCCCATACACCCCATCCACCCCATATCCCCCCCCCAGACCCCATCCACCTCACACCACCCCATATCCCCCCACAACCCCCCACCCCATCCACCCCCCCACCCCATATCCCCCCATATCCCCCCCAACCCCCCCATACCCCCCCGACCCCCACCCCATATCCCCCTCATATCCCCCCCACACCCCACCCCCTCCATAACCCCCCCCACCCCCCCACCCCATATCCCCCACAGAGCTCCCCGCACCCCACATCCCCCCCACCCCCCACACCATATCCCCCCCACACCCCACATCCCCATACCCCCCCCACCCCCCACCCCCACCCCACCCCCCACCCCATATCCCCCGCAGAGCTCCCCGCACCCCACATCCCCCCCACCCCACATCCCCCCATATCCCCCCACACCCCACCCCCCCCACTCCCCGCCCCCCACCCCATATCCCCCATATCTCCCCCCCCCCCACCCCATATCCCCCCCACATCCCCCCACCCCCCACCCCCCCATACCCCCACCCCCCACCCCATATCCCTCCCCCCATATCCCTCCCCACCCCACCCCACCCCCCACCCCCCCCATATCCCCCACAGAGCTCCCTGCACCCCACATCCCCCCCACCCCACATTCCCCCCCATATCCCCCCCACACCCCACCCCCCCCACTCCCCGCCCCCCACCCCATATCCCCCCATATCTCCCCACCCCCCACCCCACATCCCCCCCACATCCCCCCCACCCCCCACCCCCCCCATACCCCCCACCCCCCACCCCATATCCCTCCCCCATAACCCCCCACCCCTCACCCCATATCCCTCCACCTCCCCTCCCCCACCACACCCCCACCCCATATCCCCCCCATATCCCCCCCCCCCCCCATACCCCCCCACCCTCACCCCATATCCCCCACAGAGCTCCCCGCACCCCACATCCCCCCCACCCCACATCCCCCCCATATCCCCCCCACACCCCACCCCCCCCACTCCCCGCCCCCCACCCCCATATCCCCCCATATCTCCCCACCCCCCACCCCATATCCCCCCCACATCCCCCCCACCCCCCACCCCCCCCATACCCCCCACCCCCCACCCCATATCCCCTCCCCCCATATCCCTCCCCCACCCCTACCCCACCCCCCCACCCCATATCCCCCACAGAGCTCCCCGCACCCCACATCCCCCCCACCCCCCACCCCATATCCCCTCCCCCCCCCATCCCCCTCCCCCCATGTCTCACGGATGACGTCATCCCCCGCCCTCAGCTGCCCCAGGTGCTGCCATAGGGAGCTGAGCAGGGCAGGAGCGCGGCCGTGGCGTAGCTCAGCTTCTGCCCCACACCCTTGGGGCCGCGCCGCCCCCCCGGCACCTGCCCCAGCCGCAGGCTCTCCCCCAGCTTCTCCAGGTCCTCGGCAAGCGCCCTCGAAGAACGAGCGCAGCCCGGCCTTGACGATCTCCGGGCCCGACTTCATCACGGTCCTGTGGGGCAGCAATGGGGCAGATGTGGGGCAGCAATGGGGAGCAATGGGGAGCAATGGGGAGCAATGGGGAACGAGCGCAGCCCGGCCTTGACGATCTCCGGGCCCGACTTCATCACGGTCCTGTGGGGCAGCAATGGGGCAGCAATGGGGCGGATGTGGGGCAGCAATGGGGAGCAATGGGGAGCAATGGGATGGCCATGGGGAACGAGCGCAGCCCGGCCTTGACGATCTCCGGGCCCGACTTCATCACGGTCCTGTGGGGCAGATGTGGGCAGATGTGGGGGCGGATGTGGGGCAGCAATGGGGTGGATGTGGGGCAGCAATGGGGAGCAATGGGGTGGATGTGGGGCAGCAATGGGGAGCAATGGGGAGCAATGGGGAGCAATGGGGAACGAGCGCAGCCGGCCTTGACGATCTCCGGGCCCAACTTCATCACGGTCCTGTGGGGCAGCAATGGGGCAGCAATGGGGCGGATGTGGGGCAGCAATGGGGAGCAATGGGGAGCAATGGGGATGGCCATGGGAACGAGCGCAGCCCGGCCTTGACGATCTCCGGGCCCGGACTTCATCACGGTCCTGTGGGGCAGATGTGGGCAGATGTGGGCGGATGTGGGGCAGCAATGGGGTGGATGTGGGGCAGCAATGGGGAGCAATGGGGATGGCCATGGGGAACGAGCGCAGCCCGGCCTTGACGATCTCCGGGCCCGACTTCATCACGGTCCTGTGGGGCAGCAATGGGGCAGCAATGGGGCGGATGTGGGGCAGATGTGGGGCAGCAATGGGGAGCAATGGGGCAGATGTGGGGCAGCAATGGGGAGCAATGGGGAGCAATGGGGCAGCAATGGGGATGGCCATGGGGAACGAGCGCAGCCCGGCCTTGACGATCTCCGGGCCCGACTTCATCACGGTCCTGTGGGGCAGATGTGGGGCAGCAATGGGGTGGATGTGGGGCAGCAATGGGGCGGATGTGGGGCAGCAATGGGGCGGATGTGGGGCAGCAATGGGGAGCAATGGGGAGCAATGGGGAGCAATGGGGATGGCCATGGGGAACGAGCGCAGCCCGGCCTTGACGATCTCCGGGCCCGACTTCATCACGGTCCTGTGGGGCGGATGTGGGGCAGCAATGGGCGGATGTGGGGCAGCAATGGGAGCAATGGGAGCAATGGGGATGGCCATGGGGAACGAGCGCAGCCCGGCCTTGACGATCTCCGGGCCCGACTTCATCACGGTCCTGTGGGGCAGATGTGGGGCAGCAATGGGGATGGACAGCAATGGGGATGGACAGCAATGGGGCAGCAGTGGGGCAGCTGTGGGGCAGCAATGGGGATGGACATGGGGGAACGAGCACATCAATGGGACGTCAATGGGATGTCAGTGGGACATCAGTGGGGCAGCAATGGGACACAATGGGGATGGACAGCATGGGGACATGGAGACATGGGGCAGCCATAGGGACATGGGGCAGCCCATAGGGACATGGGGCAGCTGTGGGGCAGGCAAGGGGCAGCTGTGAAGCCGGGGGGCAGCCATGGGGCAGCTGTGGGGCCATGGGGCAGCCGTGGAGCAGCCGTGGGGCAGCCGTGGGGCCATGGGGCAGCCGTGGAGCAGCCGTGGGGCAGCCGTGGGGCAGCCGTGGGGCAGCCATGGGGCAGCCGTGGCGCCGTGGGGCAGCCATGGGCAGCCGTGGGGCAGCCGTGGGGCACCCATGGGGCAGCCATGGGGCAGCCATGGGGCAGCCGTGGCGCCGTGGGGCAGCCATGGGGCAGCCATGGGGCAGCCATGGCGCCGTGGGGCCACCCATGGGGCAGGCATGGGGCAGCCGTGGGGCAGCTGTGGGCAGCCATGGGGCAGGCATGGGGCAGCCATGGGGCAGCATGGGGCAGGCCGTGGGGCAGGCGTGGGGCAGCCGTGGGGCCGGACCTGGGCATCCAGGGAGCGCGCCAGGATGTGCAGGCAGTTCACCACGGCCGGAGCGTCCGTCCCTGCGGGCAGGCACCGTGAGCAGCGACCCATAGAGACCCATAGCGACCCATAGCGACCCATAGTGACCCATAGTGACCCATAGCGACCATAGCGACCCATAGCGACCCATAGAGACCCATAGCGACCCATAGCGACCCATAGTGACCCATAGTGACCCCATAGCCGACCCCATAGCGACCATAGCGACCCATAGAGACCCATAGCGACCCATAGCGACCCATAGAGACCCATAGAGACCCATAGAGACCCATAGCGACCATAGAGACCCATAGCGACCCATAGCACCCACAGAGACCCATAGTGACCCATAGCAACCCATAGTGACCCATAGCCACCCACAGAGACCCATAGTGACCCATAGCGACCCACAGAGACCCACAGCAACCCATAGCCACCCATAGCGACCCATAGGGACCCATAGCGCCCCATAGCGCCCCATAGCCACCCATAGGGACCCATAGTGATCCACAGCGACCCATAGGGACCATAGGGACCCATAGCGACCCATAGCGACCCACAGAGACCCATAGCGACCACAGGGACCCACGGACCCATAGGGACCCATAGGGACACATAGGGACCATAGGGACCCATAGGGAACAACAGGGACCCCATAGAGAAACCATAGGGAGCTCATAGGGACCCATAGAGACCCTCAACACCCCCATCGAGACCCCATAGAACAACCCATAGATACCCCATAGACACCCCCAAAACCCCATAGATACCCCATTAGAAATCCCATGGAGACCCCATAGAGACCCCACACACCCCCATAGAGACCCCATAGAAAGCCATAGAGACCCCATGAAGACCCCATAGAGACCTATAGAGACACCATAGAGCCCCATAGAGACCCCATAGAGACCCATAGAGCCCCATAGAGACCCATAGAGCCCCATAGAGACCCATACAGACCCCATAGAGACCCATAGAGACCCCATAGAGACCCCATAGAGCCCCATACATACCCCATAGAGACCCCATAGGGACCCATAGAGACCCATAGAGACCCATAGAGCCCATACAGACCCCATAGAGACCCCATAGGGACCCATAGAGATCCCATAGAACCCATGAGACCCCATACAGACCCACAGACACCCCCCAGACACCCACAGAGCCCCATAGGGACCCATAGAGCCCCATAGGGACCCATAGAGATCCATAGAGAACCCAAAGAACCGCATAGAGACCATAAGAACCCCCACGCCCCATAGATGCCCCCATAGAGTCCTCACCGAACAGCGAGATGCGGTGCCGGACCAGGGCCGCCAGCTTGCAGAAGAGGCTGTAAGGGGGGGACAATGACGAGGATGTGTGTCAGGGTGGGGGCTATGGGGGGCTATGGGGGTATGGGGGTATGGGGGCTATGGGGGCTATGGGGGCTATGGGGGCTATGGGGGTTATGGGGGCTATGGGGGGCTATGGGGGCTATGGGGGGCTATGGGGGTATGGGGGCTATGGGGGCTATGGGGGGCTATGGGGGGCTATGGGGGCTATGGGGCTATGGGGGGCTATGGGGGGCTATGGGGACTATTTGGTCTAAGGCGCTATAGGTGCTATGGATGCTATGGGTGCTATGGATGCTATGGGTGCTATGGGGCATTATGGGGTGCTATGCATGCTATGGGGTGCTATGGATACTATGGGGCACTATGGGGCGCTATGGATGCTATGGGGTACTATGGGTGCTATGGGGTACTATGGGGTGCTATGGGTGCTATGGGGCGCTATGGATGCTATGGGGTGCTATTGATGCTAAGGGGTGCTATGGGGCGCTATGGATGCTATGGGGTGCTATCGATGCTAAGGGGCGCTATGGGGTGCTATGGGGTGCTATGGATGCTATGGATGCTATGGGGCACTATGGATGCTATGGATGCTATGGATGCTATGGGACACTAGTGGATGCTATGGGGCACTATGGATGCTATGGATGCTATGGGGCACTATGGATGCTGTGGGGCACTATGGATGCTATGGGGCGCCTATGGATGCTATGGGGCCACTATGGATGCTATGGGGCACTATGGATGCTA